TGAGGTCAGAAATGTGTGGGCAAAGATAATCTAGAGGAGAGGATATTAGTTGAATTACGGGAAATGGAGTATTTCAGAGTTTGTTACTTTATAAGTGTGTACAGCGTCAGGCTAATCTGTTGAATGTTAGAGATGTTTTCATGTTTATTCTTCACCTTGAGCTTAAATATAGGAAAGGAGTAAAGACGTGTGTGTTTGCTAACTAGCTTCTGTCTGTTTTCTTTTAAATTCTGATTCAGTCCAACAATATTCTGACAATGTGTTCTACATCATAAGACTGTATCCCCTTAGTCCATCTTCCATACAACAGACAAGTAAAAGACAGAAGAGAAAGACAGAGACTTTGTCAAAAAAGAAGAGCCACCTTTCATGACCGAGGAGAACAAAGAAATGTGGTTTACTTTATCTCTTGACTTCTGACAGTCATTTAAACTTGAGCTCTGTCCTTCTAAGGGTGTATAATGAAAAAGAACTGAGCCCGTTAGACACAAGATATGCAAAATGAAGCCTTCAAATAACCCACTGCTGCTGTCACGTTTCCTTAAGAGAAGAAATACTGACTTCATAGAAATAGCTTCTCTGTTATTCTGATTATGACGCAACAAAACGACTGCAAAGCCTGGCACGCTCAATGTCAACATGGGGACATCGTGCAATACTGATGGTACACCCACACAGCTCAAGCCATTTAAAAAACAAACTGGGAACTGCTGAATTTTAAACTGCGAGCTATGACTTACTGTCGCTGTCCCTATACAGACTCTGATGAAAACCCCAGGCGTAAGAGCGATAAATAAATACATCTATAGTGAACTGCAATGGACCTGATTTCAAGTATGGTAGGTTTCTCTGGCACAGAAACCACTGAGTTTACTTGAAAATGTAACAAACAGGGGAAATAAAGCCATTGTTATGATAGTGTTTTTTTTTCACTTTCACAAGTACATTTACTCCAGGAACCTTGTATACAGTCATAGTTATTGCATTGTTTTTGCATATGTTGTGGGATGCAGGATTACACCCAATCATACTGTATACTGCAACACAACACTTCATGGTTAATGCTAACATGAAAACTGCAATGCGGCTCCAGTCCACACGGGGGCACCACGGACCTTTCAATCTCTCTCAACCGAAAGAGCCTCTGAAGACACAACAAAGCCTGGTTTGGCACTTCTGATATGCAGGGTAACTTTACTAATACAAATATGCCTGTCTACAGAATGTAAATAAAGGAACAGAAAAAAATGATTTAAATTGAATTTAGTGCAACATCGACGTTCTTCTCATCTCTGATTCCTGGAAGTAGTACAGAACATTTATGACTGTTTACATCCGAAATATAACTTGGTCATGTCTGACTATGTTTCTGTGTTGGATGATTGGTCGATTAAATAATTAGAATTGAAAACTACCTCGAGAGAGTGATACTCATAGCTGTTTCTTTCCTCTCTGACACTTCTGGCTCCTCTGTAGCAGCTTGGATACAAACACGTACTGCCTGTTAGTAACATTTAGTTTTTAAGGATTTGGACCTAGTAGTCATAAGCCAGCTTAAAAAAACAGGAGTAAAATTCTTATGTCTTTTGAATAAATACATTTTTGCCAGGGCCAATAGAACAAAATGTGTAAACAAAACGAGAAAGCATATGCTTCTCTGCACACACATTAACATACTTGTCCTTGTTGTCTTTTTAAACTACTAGACTTCAAAAGACATCAGCTTATACTGAATGTGAGCCGCTAGCCTCAATGTATACTGTTAGCTTATGGTACCAATCATTTTCATATAGAACTATTTTTAATGAGGTGCTTTTAGATTAACTCCAGGTCTGATGAAGCCAAAGGTTCTGTGATAAGAAACAAACAGACGAAAAGATGATTCTATGACAACAGACTTCGTCAGAGTTTGCAGGATGATAATCACCACAGAACAAAAGCATTACCACTTAAAATAAGTTCAACATTCACATTTAGTTTGCATAATAATGTCAGAAGTCTGTAACTGGCACAGGATGCAGTGTATGGCAACATGTCCATGCATACCCTTTCCTGCCACAAACTTGCTCTGCTTAACATGTAGGAGTGAGTGCTCAGAAGCCGGTTCTGAACGATGAATGGCTAAAAGCGGACATGTGAAAATTTCTGTTGGTGGGAGTTGTCTAAGCAAGACTTGAAATAAAAAAAAAACAACTGAATTAACGAGGATATTGCCAAAGATTTTGACTTATTTAAGAACTAAGAGAGTTTCAACTCATACATTTCTTTCTGCAGTGTTGACAAGATCTGCTGCATTGGCAATGTGTTGGTAACAAAAGTTTCATTTTGCCAAGATTCTAAGGGAACATTTGTTGTTACATATCTTCTACGAAAGTTGAATTGAATCATGTCAGTTTGTAATGAAATTAGGTTGCCTATAAATTGTAGTAATCCATACAAGGGATGTGATACTGACATGAGGAATGTTTCTTGAAAAAGACAATATATTGAAGAGAGGCTTGTGCCCTGTGGTATCTAACAAGGCCTGAGGTCCAAACCTGTGCCTCATCTAGAAAGGTCAATAAAAAGTTGTCAGCATGCTACCGAAAATCCAAGGAATTGAAAAAAAAAAACCCAAAAAAAACTAAAAACCACACCTGGGGATCAACTTCCCTCAGAATTGATTTGTATTCATTCATGTTAACCAAACAAATATCACTTCTTATCAATAACCAGTTCTGCCTGTGGTACAACTGTTTGAATGATAGAACAGGCAGTGAGAAACAGTTTTATTTCTAACAATGATAATAAATCTGAATGTTTTTGTGATGAGCAGAACTCAGACATTGATGCCATTCAGAAGTCTTGCAGCATCTGTACACCAGCCCTAATAGCTCATTTGGAGTTTAAAATACAACTAAATCGATGAAACCATGTGATTACGATGTGTTTTAGCCGAGCGTTCTAGGCATCATCCTCACTTCTTTCATGAGGCATCACTGTGGCAGTGTGAATTTACTTCGACTATTCAGAGCAACCACCCACCATAAAGAAGAAAAGCAGCATTCTCCAAAAGGCTTGTTACCTGCCAAGCTGCAGTGCTGAAACTCATCAAACTGTAAACCTAACCTGTCACTCTGAACGCACCCATAAGTACCTCTAAACAGAAAAATAGAGAAATGTTATGTGATGACTATTTTCAAAGAGAGAGTGGCTCCTGACTCTGCAGCTTGGCTAAAAGTAAAAACCGTGCTAAAGAAATCACAAAGCTTTGGAAGCATGCCTGTCCATGGTAACCCTGTGTTAAGGAGGCCCATTATCACACACATACACACTTACACACGCTCTCTCTCTCTCTCTCACACACACACACACACACACACACACACACAATACCATACTTGTAATGCTACCTTAATTTACTGTCTAGGCTTAAAATCAGCTTTTTAGAATACATAAGTAACCGCTCGAACACAGGCACGCATAAAAAGGTACATCCTTGCACACATTTTTTTCTCTTCTGGGAAAAATAAATAAATAAATAGATACAATCTGTAAAAGGTGCATACTGATAGAGAGAAAGACCCCTCTTTTAGATACACGCTACCTCACACATTCGAAACCGCATACATTCTGTACTAAAACGCAGACATACACCCGCACTCACAAAAATAGTTATACAATCGCACTCAAACACTACGCCCTGCTTCGATACTTTAAACCTCTTAAAATTCTCCTAAAATAAACTGAGCAAAAATACATTTATAAGACCAGCACCCTGATTGTGCAAACAAATCAAGGATAAATTAAACCAATAACATCATGAATATGAAACAAAATAGTCATGGCTAGCCAGTTTTGCACAATATTGAACTGTTAAATACATAGTGGGTGTGGTCTGTAGAGAGAGTGTGTGGCAGCAAATCCAATAGGATTCCACGCTGAGAGGGAGAAGAGGGTCTTGGAGAAGGAAGTGAGGTTGATTGATGGACAGAACCTCTGTAGATCCATGCCCAGAGTCTGTTTTCTATTCAACCGAACACTACCGTGTTCTCCTCCACCCTCCATCTCTGTTGCCCTGTTGGACACCTCCTGAGGGCTAAAAAAGCAAAAAACCCAGTGATGGAGGGAGACAGAGGGTGGATTTATCAAGAAGGAGGGAGGAAGGAGCGAGGGAGGAGTGAGGAACGGCGAGGTATGAGGCATTGAGGGGGATCACTTTCTCTGTTTATCCACCAAATACTCCACCCTGCTCGGGACAAGAGGTGGGTGTGGTCAAACGGGGAAAAGCAGCGGTGAGGGTGCAGCCAGAACAAGGTGATGGACGAGGTGAGTTTTTTCTCGAGCTTGCGTCTTATCAACCAGTGGATGAAAGAGCTGGCTAGCTTCCTGTTGGCCAGTAGCCCCCTTGGTCCATCCCTTAACCCCCTCCCCCCCCCGCCCCCCCCTTTTAGCTGGGGATGGCATGTTACCTTAATCCCCCCCTCAGACTGGCAGGGCTGTGCTCCAAGGTTCTTAGCTTTGGAAGAGGAAGAAAAATGAGATTTAAAACAGGGTTTTCCTCGACCCTGTTTACTCAATACAGCGCTTCTTCATTAGTGAACCAAATGGGTACGGCCAGATTTGAATCCGTAACTGACCCCCACCCAACAAGCTGGTCTGTTGTCCCCTTCCTGGCTTCATGGCGGCCAGACAAACAACAATAACACAACACCAAAGTAGGCAGAGGAAATGAAAACAATAAACACACTATGTGAACAGCAGGAAACCAATAAAAGGACTTCCTGCTTTTGTTTCCTTTCTTCCTACTTTCCCGTCATCACGACTTTTCTGCTCATCACACTTTGAAGACATGAGAAAACTGTGAGGCACTTTAGAGACACACGCAGACATGTGTGGATAACGCGCACACACACACACACACACACACACACACACAGAGACAGACAGACAGACACACACACACACACGTACAAAAAGTGAAAATCATAGATCACACACAAGCATACACTCAGATAGTATAGAGTATAGAGTGGCTCACTTTACTACAAACACACACACACGTACAAACTCATATAAACTAACAAAAGTCATAACCAGGTGTTTAAGGTTGCGTTACTGGCCGCCATTGTCCAGAGCTGTCACGTCTGGCAGAGAGGCAGACAGTGTATGTGTGTGTGAGGGACGGGGACAGACAGAGCCAGCTGTGGCGTTGTCACCCAGCACTGACAGGCGTCAGTCTCTGATGATGTCAGAGGGGCCAGTCGGCCAATTGAACCCGTCAAGACGACTCCTACAAACTAGTCACACACTCCATATCCTCGTCCTCCAAAAGCCCGCTGTTCCTCTGCTGTGCTCCTCCAATCACAACTGAGCCTCTGTGGTGCCCTTCCTCCGTCCCTTCTGCCCCCTCCTCCTCCTCCTCCTCCTCCTCCTCCTCCTCCTCCTCCTCCTCTTCTTGTCCCCTCGCCCCTGCTAGTAGCTCCTGCCGCTCCTCCACTGAGGACGGCCCGTGAACGGAGCCTCTGCTTCCTGCTGCCTCTCCACTGCCCTCACCAGCCGCTCGTTCTCTGTGAGTAGCTGCTGCTGCTGTTTGGAAGGGGAGTAGGTTGCCGTTGGGGCTGTGCTGGGAGGTGGAGGAGGAGCTAGATGCGGCAGTTGTGGCTGTATTGCCATTGAGTATGTTGTTGGCTGCATGCTCCATCTCCTCGATGGTCATGTCACAGACATCAGCCAACTCGGCTTTGGTTGCCTCAATGAAGGATGGATCCTGGGCAAAGTGACCTAAACCTTCTGATATTAACACCTTCAGAGAGGAATGGGAAGGGAAAATATGGAGAGAGTAAAGGAAGAATATGGGGAGGAACAGAGGAGTGGGATGAAGGAAGTGGGAGAGATAAAAATCTTTACTATGGTAGGAAAATATTGAATGGTTACAGCCTTTATTTTACAGTGGTTTTAATTAATGATTAATTTCTTGCTCGCTATTAAGCAGTGCCAACAATAACCTCCTGCATCAAAGGTAATATGATTTATTGCTTTTTTAAAAATACAAAATAAACCAGTGTCTACTTGATACCCTTGTCATGGGTGTCAGAAGCTATGTAGAAGATTTGACCTCTAAACATCACAGATTGTCTCATTTGAATACACTCTGAGGAAAAAATACATCAAATCTTCCACAAAAAGGCAACAATTTAGGGTACGAATTCCAACATGTCAAACGGGACATATTGTAATTTCATCAATATCCTGTGTCTGTGACTACAGCGGTCCATCTATAACCTTTTCCAAATATACACACACTCACCGCCTCCACCAGACTGCCTGCGCTGCCATGACACAGTGAGCTGGAGTCTTTCACCAGTAGTGAGGGCACTGTGAGCGACACCGGTCGGGGTGGTCTTTGATTGGGCACTGACACGCTCGGGCTAGGACTGGGCACCCGACTGTTTCCATTACTGTCGCTATACCTTGGAGCAATGAATTGTTATGATGTTAGAATAATTGTTTTAAATATATTATGACTATTGGACAATTGTACAGTAAAGGTTCATTATGAGGTGCTCAGTCTTACCAGGGCCCACAGTTGACGGAGGGCAAGCTGGTATTGAGCTTTTCATGGGAGTTGGAGCCCTCTAGCCTCAGAGAGGGCACCCGCTGGTAGGATGCATCACTGCCCTGGGCTAAAAAAAAAACAAAGACAGTAGAAGGAACCATTAGGAGAAAAATATCAATCTCATAAAGTACAATAAAAAGCAAAAACAAGACAAGATTATCCCATATAAAATTCACTATTCTGAATTCAGCCTTTTTTTGCATTTTATAAAAGTACAATTGCACTTGCTGAGGAAACTTTCTTGACAGTACATGTGGGAATAAGATGCAGTATACCCGTGGGACTGGCTGGAGGCGTGGAGCATAGCCGACTAAAGAGGGTAGGTGAGTGACTCCTTCTTAGTAGAGGACTCAGTCCTGCGACTGCCAGTGCCTGAAGGAGGACAAAGCAGTGGGTCGAGAGTTATAGGAGCAGAGTGGTATGATTATGCATGCAGAACACAGCATGGCTTAGGGTTTAACTTCCAAAAAAATGAAATATAAAGCTTCTTTCTGTGCAAGTGTGGGAATATATTTGGGTTTATTTTGTAGGAGACTTGTACCTGATGATGTACTAGGTGTAGAGGCACAGCCGTCTTCTGGGAGACGTCTGACCTTGACTGTCTCCTGAGACACTCCAGATGGAAGGATGATCTCCGTCCTGAAATACACACAACGAAATAAGCACGCTCTTTGCACGTAGAAATGAGTCAACAATAGAAAAAGTAGGATTCATATTCTTTTGCCGTGTTTTTGGAAAGGGTTTTTTTTTCTGGGCACGTGTGTTTACTCACCGAGAGAAGTGGGGCAGAGGAAGACTCTCCTAGGAGACTGCCACCCTCCTCCTCCTCCTCCTCTTCTGTCTTCTACCTCCTCTCCTCCCTCCATGGGAGTCAACTGCTTACATTGTTCATCATGATACACAAGCCTAATAAGTACACACAGGCACATAAAGAGGAGTTAATGAAAGGACCCGAAACAGCTAAGTGAGGAAAACTTGATTGTTTATGGTGTATGTGTGTTTCAGCAGTACATGTCAGAGGAGAGTGAGTGGTCATCCCCATGGTACTCCCTGTTGTCGCCGTAGGTCTCATCATACGTCTCCTCCGTTGAACCTTCACCTCTTTGGATGATTGGTAGATGGCTGTCACTTGAGTCAGAGCTACAAATGAACGAACAAGCACACAAACCAGACAAACACACAGACAGACAAAATGAACATAGACACAGATGAAAAAACAGGAAGACAAATAGGCAGACAGGTGTAAACATAAACACACAACCACACAGAAAAGAAGCAGCTGATCAGCTACATGTAAAAAACCAAAGGAGGAGCTAAGGAGGAGAGCCTGCTGAGGCTTAACTATTGCATGTGGGAAAAAGAAAGAGAAAAAAAAAAACTAGAGGAAAGGAAGGAGAAGCAGGAGGTAACTAATTTGTTGCAAAATGTTAAAAAGCATCAAAGGCAACATCTGGATTATGACAAATGATAGGACAACTGAGGTGCAGACATCTTTAAAAACAAAGACTAGAAGAGACAGATGAATTGCTCATTACAGCTGATGTTGTCAATTTATACCAAAGGGCCCATTGAGAAATGAAACGAGTACTTTTTATTCCGTTCTCATGATTCAAAAACAAAGACCAGAAAGTCCAGGGATCAGGCACTGTCTTTCTACTAATCTCTAAAGAATCGATGCAAAATCCGCATTAACCCAGATTACACTTTCTTACCAAATATATGATTAAAAGTGTTAAACCCTGTCCCATTATATTTTTTTCTTAAAAGCTTAAATGTAAGATGTGATTTTTATCTTAAGAGACAGACTTGTTCTAAGTCTGTATATAATTCATATTAAGTTGTAATATCTTCGAATTCCAAAGATGTCTGGTCACCCTATCGCTCAACATCTGTTTCATACTCCAGACTTAAGCTTTAAAGGGCCCATATTATGCTTTTTCTGGTTTTATATGCACATCTATTTGCAAAAATTCAAAGTCCGCGGAAACGCAGCTTCTCCTACGTCCTCCTGTTAGCTGCAGCATTAGCTGCATGTAACGCTCGGTTTTAGACCCCCTCGAAAAAAAAAATGTCAGTGTGACGTCATTGTCAGTGTGATATCACTGATCTAAGCCCATTGGCTCGTTGTGGTAAGCCCAGCAGCTCATGTTGTATGCCTGTTAACTTCTGTAGCACGCCCACAATATGCCGTAGCCTGCGTTAGCACAGTAGTGCTAAGGTGCTAATGTTTTTGCTCCCCAGCCCTCGGAGCCAGAGTGGCTGAGCGACCGACCAATCAGACCAGACTTGGCACACGTGGGGACTCTGAACGTGGGCACTTCAGAGCCTTAGAGAGAGAGTCAGAAGCGAGCCGGTGCATGGAGCGGCAGTACATGAAAGCAGACACTTTTTTCAAATTTTAGCTATTGTGAACATACTTCAGTAGGTACATAGATTAAATATACGAAACCCAAAAAGGGCATAATATGGGCTCTTTAAGGAGACATCCTGACATTTGGGGAGGAATCGTCTCTTCTTCTTCACCAAATTGTCTGCTTTAAAAAGAAAATATTTCATCTGCCTAAAAACTACCTGTCAACAGCGGTGTTTCAAATGACAACCATAACAAACTGTGCAGCCTGTAGTTACTTAGCAGTATCCTTTATTATCAATGATGAAGGCTTATTAATACAACAAACAATCATTTTTCTTAAGAACAACTGGTGAAGATAAAAAGTAATAATAGTAAATGTCAAGATGTCCCTTAAGTCAACAGCAAATCCTGAGTTAGAACAGAATGTTCTAAGATTGATGAAATTAAGTGTGATCAAGCTGCCCGTCTCAACTCCGGGTTGATATGATCCCTTTGCTACATCAAGATGAGGTAGTGCAAGCAGGCTAACTTTCCATGATGAACTCATTTGGTAAAGAATAGAAGTCTAACACCCAGAAACTGAAATAAAGCTATCAGATGTTTCCACACTTTACTGTTATAACATAGGCCATGGACCAAGAGCAGACGTGTCTAACCCAAAACTGCCATAAAATACAATAAAAACAGCAGCAATTAGAGCCTTTGATCAGAGAGGTTTGGCCGTGTTGCACCAAACTGTCCATCAATGGCTTTGGAAGCAGATTTTATATTTGCAGCACAGAGCCAGCACCAAGGCTTTTGCTATAGCAACTAAAGCATTATGTGCATAGCAACAAGTGTCACTATAGCACCCTGCCATTTTATATAGCATAAAAAAATCTTTTTGTAATCTTTAACTAATACAACACACACACGCACACACACACACGTTTTCTTTCTGTACCCTGGCAACATACCGCATGAGGGTGTCATAAAAACACGTCCTGCTTGCCATCAGATACAAAAGACAGAAAAAGAGAGGAGGAAGGAGAAGGAAAGTGAAGGAAATGGAAGTACTGTTTATACCTGAACTTAATAGTCATCTTGTTCATTATGTTAGCTGGCTAACTTAGAATCTGTGCCCTTGGAAATGAAAGCGATAGACACTTGATAAGATGCAGATGTAACCTGCAGTCTGGCTTGAACTCACCTCTTTGGAGGAAAGCACCACGCAGATCTTGGCAGCAGGATGGGGGTGAGCGGTTGTCCTGTGTGTCCGTCCACAGTGCTAATGGACGGGCTCGGGAATCGACTGATTCCCTGCGCCACAACTCCGGCCATGCCGGTATTGTTTGCATTGTTTATGTTGGCATTGGAGCCGGATGAGGAGTAGGAGGAGGGGGTGAAAGTGGTCGAGTCCATGAGCTTCTCATGGGACGGGCTCTCGCCTTCGCAAGGGGAGCCCTTCTGGCTGATGTGCAAGGGACGCTGGGTAGTGAAGGACTGAGGGAATGATGCACGGCCATCGCTCTGGTTGTAGTAGTTGACATGGTTGCTGAACAAACCGCCTGTACGCTGTGGGTTGAGAGGAGAAGGGTTGAATGAGATGGGTGAGAGAGATAGAGAACAGGAGGAAGAGGAATCCAGAACATTGAAGAGTCAGAGAAAGGAGAAGAGAAGGGTGAAGGAAAGATCATACAAGGCAATGAATAAGATGAAAAGTGTAAACTGACAGCAAGTTCAAATTATATCAAAATATCTTTATAACTAACATTAAACAGTTATAACAACTACCATCACACTCACTGCTTTCAGCAACAAACCCTTACACAGCCAAGATGGAAATGCAAAGCAGAGAGGCTGTATTGCAATGTTACCTAAGTTAGAAAGTTAGTTTAAAAAGATGAAGATCTTTGACATGAGAGCAGCATGGTTATGACACTGAATGAAAAGGGTCATCTTGAGCATAACTAACATGTACATGACAACTTTAATAACCTTAATGATCAGTACTGTTTTTATTATAATGGTATTATAATGAATTAGATTTAGAGAAATGTTGTTGCCCTTGTAAGATCATGAATACATATTTTGTCTCATCTATATTACGAGGTAATTAAAAGTAAAGATAGACAGCAGTAAAGAAGAACACCAGTGTGCAATGATAGACTTATGGGGTAGGTAACTAGCATCACTTACCCTTGAGCAAAGGCTGTGTGTGTGTTTTTGTGTATTTGATTGTCAGAGTCTTGCAAGTTACAGTGCTTTACTGGAAATGTTGTGTGTTGGATTTGATAGTTTATGTTTTGTTCATATTTTTCAATTTGCAAACACAATGTTGTTCAACCGACTTTTAAAAGTGTGTTTGCTGTGTGTGGTGATTGGCAGCAAAGCTGTATGATCAGGCTTTTTTAATGTGTTTTTGAGACTCAGAGCACATGCAAGCATGTCTGTGTATCGGCATGGAGCAATAATGTGGCTTCAAGCTGGGCGCTGATCATCTCTCGCTCTCTCTCGCTCTCTTTCTCTCTCTGGAGAGTGAGTGAGAGAGTGTGTATCCGACCTTTACCCTGAAGATATCGTCCTCAGAAGCAGCCGACACAGGCTCCTTCAGGCCTTTGTCCATCTCCTCCTCCACGGTCAGGTCTCCAGAGATGGCCCTCCGGATCTCTGGACCTATGTCATGCAATGTCCGCAGGCCCGCCTATACACAGAGCAAACACCCTGTATTGATGCACCTATCATCGAATAACACACTGACCAACATGTTTATAAATAGAGTAAAAACCTTGAAACAAGGTATCTGAACATACACATTATACATAAACTATACTCCCATTCACATTTCTTTAATCATTATGGATCTCTTGAATTCACAGTTCTTTATATACACTACTGTATCCTAAATGTTTGAACGATCTAACAAATATGTAGAGATATATACTCAAGGGTTAATAACTTCTGTGTGTTTGTTTACCTGCAGAGAGAGGGCAGTTTTTGGGGCCACCTTGGCCACCAGTCCTTGTTCTTTCCTCTTCTTAAACTTGCGGAAATATTCCTGGATGAGGAAGGTAGCGTAGAACTTTCCGACTGTCACCTCATCATCTGCAAGAAATTTCAAACTCTACATTTACTATGCGCTAACGTAAAAACAAAAAGCCTGTTCTTTCATAATAGCAACTGCAAGCAATGCTATTGAGGTGTTTCTGCATAAATGAAATGTTGACAGTACATACTACAGTGTATTGATTCTTGAAAGTGTGTAAGTTTTTTCTAGATATCGATAAGCTACATTCTATAGTAGGAAATTGTGTTGCAGAGTATACATACCACCAGCAGGGGGCACTACTTGATCCAAGAGCTTCATGCTGGTTCTCTTCCAGATCTTCTTCACTATTGCCCTCAGTTCCTCATTGGCCTGCTCCAGGTTACCTGCACACACATGAACAGAGGCAAGCTGTTGGTTAAGTAGTATTTTTAGTTTCACATTCCATGACCACAAAGCCATGAAGTTTGGAAACATCAGCACGAATATGGTAATATTGATATCAACAGGACTATATTGAAGTTGGACTATATTGAAAGGGACTTTATTGCTGGAGACAGAGGTGAGTGTTGTTAAATTGTGTGGCTAGGAGAGAGCAATAAATAGGGAGTCAGAGCAAATGTATGTGAAACTGCATCAGAGAGTTTGTATATGTGTGTGTCACTTACCGTCTGTCTTAATCCTGAGCGCGGTTCTGACCAGAGCAAACAGTGTGGCATTGAACATCACTGTTCCATCGCTGTTCAGAGGCATGTTCATCGACACCAGGCGCTGCGTGAGACAGAGATTTTGTTTGATTGTAAGAACTCTAAAATCAAATCATGCTGAGGTAAATATTCTTGGACAACAAACTATCATCTGCCAATAGATGCTGGCAGCTGACTGTTTGTTGAAAATGAGGCAGAAGGCAGTTTGACACTCTGGTTCCTACTTTTTTCTCCTCTAGAGAGATGTCAATGTCTAAATATCTTAAATATTTTCTCTACAGATAGAAATGTTGTCAGTGTGCCATTTGAGTCATTGTGGAAGGTGTTATTGACACACATCAGTATCACGAAGAAGAAGGTGAGTTTTTCTGCATAGTTAATACAAACACTGCAAATTAATTCACTTTGTCTAAAAGGTCGAGCCTAATTTAAAATGGTGTATTTTCTATTGCTCTGCAGCCTTATTGAGAATATGTGTGAACCAGGTGTATGTGTATGCTCACCTTGCAGGCAACCCTGTGTGGACAGAGCTTTCCAAAGCCGAGGGGTGGCTGGATTCTCCTCAGCAGAGTCACCACATCAAGGTGCTTTATCCTCCCTCTGGAAACAGCACAGGATGAGATTAAAGTAACTCTCAATAAAACCAACAATAAATTATTTGGAGGATGTATTTTGTTTGTGTTTTGTTCTCTGTAAACGTACTTAGCTTCAGGGTCATATTCAGCCCAGATCCTCTTGAATTCATCAAGATGATGCGGCCCCAGAATTGACCAATCACGTGTCAGGTAGTCAAAGTTGTCCATGATGACAGCCACAAACAGGTTGATGATCTGTGAAGAATGACCCAAACATTTATCCGATTTAATACTCAGTTTGCAAAAGTTATAGTTCAACATTTTGAGAAATTAGCTTATATGAGCTCGCTGTGAGTAAGATGTCAGAGTTGATTAAATAGGAAAAGATTGAGGGACATCACTATATCCAAAAAAAGAAAAACTTATCTGCTAATTAACTTAAAGCCACAACTAATATTTACACTCATTTTAACACTAAACTAACAATTTGCTGATTTTTGCTCTCTATTAACCTGACTGCAATAAAAGGTATTTGGACATAATGTTTCAAAATACTGCCTTTTAATCTTTAAATCTAAGAAACATCAACAATGAAATCTTTCCCCCCATCACTCAGAGTACTCACCAGAAAGGCACACAGCATGTAGAAGCTGACAAAGTAAATGATGGCAAACTGGCTGCCACAGTCCTCATTGGCCGAGTTGCTTTCGTTGGTGGATCCTTTCTCACAGGGTCGATTTGGCGAGCATGCCAGCATGATCTCCTGCCATGCCTCACCTGTTGCACATCTGATAGATAGACATGCATGCACACAGCCACACGCATTTGCACAGATATACATGCAAAAACATATGCATATACAGATACATCAAAGAAACGATAGAGACAAACACATATATGCATATATGTGTGCAGGTTTTCATCAATGCAACAGCATGGAGTCACAAGTGAAGGGTGTGCATTCATGTATGCATACAGAAATACACAGATGTAGTGAAAGACGAGCACAGAGAAACAAAGAGAGACAGAGGCAGACACAAGCACATAAACACAGACGCACAAACACACACATGACACACACAAGTGTTAAGAGTGTGAACAACAACAAAAGTTAAACTAACAAACAGCATAATTGTATATTTATTCAATCACAATTTACAGGGCAACAGTAAATAAGTGTATGTTTAACTGTCATCTATTGTGAATATATGAGTAACATTAAACTTTCTCTGCAGTTTCTGTTTTACCAGGTTTCATTTTTGAGCTTTGCTGTGCAAACACACAGCAGTTTGAAGGATTCAACGCTGATGTCTCTGTGACTGGAAGCCAATAGTTCAGTGATTTCTTTAAGGGGTCAACACATGGAATATGATAAAATAAAAAAGATGCACAGTAGGTGCACCATAACATGTTTAGAAACTCTGATCCAATGAGTTTCTGTTTTTTGTCACCTGCAAAAACCTGATTCATTGTCAGACCTTTGGTGATATCATCAGGATCACTGCTACATACCATGTGAATTTTAACTCTTGGCAAAGTGGCTGCAACTTGGTCTTTAAGATCAACCTGACAAAACATTTTCTCACTTTCGATCTTTTGCAGAGGGAAGTGGCAAAGTGGGCTTAATTACGCAGCTTGACATTTGCAGATATTATGGCATTTATTTAACCCACTGCTGTTATTAAATGTCATTCAAACTCGTAATGTATTATATGAAATGTTTTTCAGAGTACATGCAAAAGAGAAGATGTGAGATACAATAAAAGTACAGTAAAATTATTGATGTTGATGTGACATTGTAATTCAGGACAGGGAAGGAGAGCAGAATGGCAATTTGGGAAGAATTAAGATAGGGTGTGAAGTCAATTTCCTCACCTGAAGAGCAGCAGCACTGCCTGAGGGAACGTCTGGAAATTGTTGTTCCTGTTGATCTGTGTGTGGTCCCGTAGTGCTATTTTACCAAACATCTGTATATAGGGAAGGAAGTAGTCACAGCACACAGGGTATAATGTCAGCACTGACAGGAGGAAGTGATGTCGTTCTGTGACAAAAATTAAAGTCTGTCCGTCCCCAGAAAAATCAGAGCAAATGGGTTGTCCCTCTCATCAACAGGGAGACAGTACGAAGTACAGACAGAGGGAGAGTAAGGACAGAGACTGGCAACAACTAGAGGAGAAAGAAACATGAAGGAGGGAAGGACGACGTGACCGAACAGCAACTCTGGATGACAAGACTCCAAGAAGACAGACACAGGACGGGGGCCAGCTAGAGGAGAAGGTGAGAGAGAAAAAAACACAACAGGGAGGGAAACAAGGTGACAGACAACAGCTTACCTGCATGCCGATGACAGCGTATATGAAGAAAAGCATCACTATAAGCAGAGCTACGTAGGGCAGAGCCTAAAGAGGAGAGACACACATCAGCAACAAGTTTTTGACAATATGATACTGCAGCAGGGCTGGAGTCAATTCATTTTCATCCAATCTCACACCTAAAATGAGTCAATACTTTAGGAAACTATTGTAAAAAACAAAAACAAAAAAAAGGCAAATTAACATGTTTACATTTTTAAATTAGGAAGTGATGTACAGAAGAATGATTGGTACATATTGAATTGAAAGTGAACTGATCTTCAGCCCTGTGTGGCACAACACCAAAAAAAGTCAAGGGCAAATCATCTGACTTAGTGGAGTGTAAAACCTCTGTAAAATACAAACTGCTCTCTAATTTGAGCCAGGAGACGAGTCACCACCAGTTGTGCATGGCGAAAGGGGGCAGTACACTTATGTCTTGCATATAAACACACCTAGAAAACTGTTTTAATGAACTCCTGGCTAACATTACCCCTGTGCCTGTGGTAGCAGGGCCAAATCATGATAAAGACATTAAAGAGTAAAGGTTTGAATATGTCTTTATGTGATCAAATGGTGATTGAAACAGCATCAAGTGTTTAGTCAGCTTGAAATGTTTTTTTCATAAAGTACAGTTATATATTTGTGACCACTAATGATTTATTCTCCATGAGTCTGGTGTTGTTACATCACCACTATTACAAATTTCAGGGACTCTATATTTACACAAAATGACCAGTCTCAACTAGCACAAGAGAGAGAACAGAATATTTCCATTTACCCCTACCTCTCTATCAAATGATTTCATTTTTGGTGAAGTGCTTAGTTAATCTTTTCTACTTCTTAACCTGCCTACAGGCCATAGTTAGCCCTCAGAGGTTAGTAGTAGGGTGTTTGTAGGAAAAGTGAGTAGAAAAAAAGAGGAGGGGGAGGAGGAGAGATGAGTAAGATAGAGGATAAAGAGATTGCTGGTCAAAGTTATTTTGTTCTTGTCTGTTTCTCATCTTCATGTCCCTAAAACCCTCCCTGCCTACTTCTGCAGTAAGACTCCCAAACCTACTATCGGTAACTAGACACCATCCCTCTTTCTTTCCTCCTTCTCTGTGTTAACAGCCCACCACCCCACCCTTTTACTTATGCAAAAATAGGAAGCGGAGACAAGAAGGGAAGGGGCCAGGAAAGGAAAGGTGGCTTGAGACTCCACCAGGCTGAGTTTACACAAGAACAGAGACCTTTTTAGCCCCATGTGACTCAGATGTGAAGCTACAAGGTGTTCTGCTCATTTTCAATAACACCAAATCAGTCTATTGTGGAAGCATTTAGCAGACTATCACTCGGTTGACTGAATTTAATCAGTTAGGTATTACAACTATATACTCAGTTTGGATCAAAAACTCTGAACTATATTCTATTTGGTGTGATTTAAAATTTAAGAAGCTTTAAAAAGCAATTAGGCTGTCAAACAAGGCTTCAATTTGAGTCACACAAGTGTTAAAACTTTCACATTCCATCCTGTGTAAACCCAACCCTAGTCCTCTAGCATGTTCTGTCCGGTTCTCCCCTCACTTGGAAGGATTTGATGAAGGTCCACAGCAGGGTCCGAATCCCTTCCCCGCGAGACAGCAGCTTCACCAGCCTCATCACGCGGAACAGCCGGAAGAAGGTGATGGAGATCCTGGCGTTCTCTTCAGAGTTCTGCAGTCCCTTTTGGTGGGGTTTGGTGTTTTTTTTTCATAGAAAAAACACAGGACGCATGAGGACACGTGCACATGGGTAAAGGTGGGAAACACACACACAACCACACACACACACACACACAGGTAAATGATGACACACAAACAAACGTGGAAATGTAGACATGTAACATTCACATCCATATTCCCAACCACAGATTTGTGGATGTTAATATGTATAAAGCACACACACACACGCACACACACATACACACTGAGTTAATAAATGGAGATCTGCGTCCTACAAAATCCCATCAAAATCAACTGACAAAAGAGATCTGGGAGAGAATCGGGCAATCATGCTTAATTTATCTGGCTTCATGGAAAAATCACTCGGCAACAAGAGACTCACAAAGCCTCAATCCGCTATCCAAACACACCTGCTTCTACCACTCTTTGAATAACTCACAAACCCAAATGTGCAATCGACAAGTTGAAGATACACTCCATTTACTGTCTTTCAAGGCACCTTACTGAACAGTCAACACAAAAAAACGTAACCTTCAGTCTGACTATTAGTCCAACCACTTCAATGCTACTATATAACCAAGGGGAAAAACTACCGGCTGGGTGTTACTACATACTAGAGCTAATTTAAGGCTTGCATTGACGTTTGACAAAATCAAAAAAATTAAATAATTTGGAATTCCTCTGAAGCAAATCATCCAACTAAGCTGAAAGATTTTGGATATCCTGCACCAGTATGGACTTAAATTCTAATCGCCGAGACCAGGCCAGAGAGATTTCCATCGATAGAGGTAAGCTTATTCATAAATCACTGATAACAATTCACAACAGATTCTGACGTAAATCCTAGCCTCCAGGCAGAAACATGCAGGCAGGCTAATTGTTTGTCTGTCAAGGGGAAAGTGGCCTTCGTGAGACAAAATCTGGTGATGACCATCTGGGGGGAAGGTGGGGGGGGGTAAAGGTATTACTTCCCAAATCAGCCACTGCTTGACACCCTTTGTTTACTAGAATCTGGAACCTGATTTCAGCCTATTAACCATTTTATTTGCAGAACCTTTTGCAATGACAATGTTATACTTTGACTCTCAGAGCAGTTGGACTACTTTGGAAAATGTGCCGCTTATCAAAGTGTACCTGCGTAAAGCGTTGAAGTACAAGCTCGAGAGGCACTGCAGCTTTCTAACTGTCTATTGTCCCAGTACTTGTCCACAGGAAATAACTCAATGATGAAATATTCAGCCATCTCGCTGAGTGCTACTCTATTACACATTTATTTATTTATGCCGCTGCTGCTCATTCTCAGGGACAAAAAACAGAAAAACCATGGCAAACATCATGATTTATGTGAAGATTGATGCACTGAGTACAGCAGCTAAGGACCCAGTAGATCATTCAAAGTGTATCACAAGCAGACGATAAAGCAGATAAGACCTAAGACACAAGTTAGCAACCCTAACAGCAACGATGATGCAAAATGACAAATAAATACACTAAAAACTATCAAACTCTAACTACATGTTTCTGCAATAATCAGTTAGTATCCTTGAAATAGACTTGAACAACTAAAAATGCAGAATTTCTACCATAATAGTTCAAACTAAATCCACCCTCACTGTGAAAATGAAATGTGATCCTAAAAAGTCCTGTGAACCTAACTTCCAAAGTTGTTTCATGCCGTTTGTGTTTTTCCAAGAGGCCATCAATTCTTTATGCTAATCCCACAGATATAACAGTGTGGCCATGAAAAGAACTTGCCATTCTCCTCACATCTCTATGCAGTTTGGGGTAACGGATATCGTTTGTTAATTTTCAACATACTGGTTGAATTGGCTGATCTTGTTCCCAAAAAAACATTATTTAGTATGCTTCAGACTTTGTTGTGGACACTGTGTTGTTGATAAGTAACCCAAGACATAAGTTGTCCCAAACTCCACAGACAGATATGCTGAAAATGACAAATCCTTCTAAGGATTCAATAATCTGTACGGCATGTAATACCCCAACTGGACCACAGTGGGGACCACTTCACCATTGAGAGAGAGTGGGGTAGTGAGCGAGACTGGTACAGTGACAGTAAGTGTAACAGATAGAGAGTGGGTGAGAGTCTGAATATGAAGAATAGTTTGAATTATTCAGGGACATAAAAACAAAGACTGATTCACAGGTAGATAATATAGACAGACAGATAGAAAGAGAGGTAGATAGAGAGATGGCAGGCCAGTGGAGAGCAGTGAAAGAAAGAGAGACAGCGTGATAGCGTGACCATGATGGCTTGCACTGATGACGAAGCACCAAAGAAACCAAACCCATGAGCAAAGGGGGAGCTGCAGGCCATGGGGGAGCCATGGGGGATAACAGCAATAGCCACTCAAGGAATGTCACAAGACTCCAGTTACACTAGGCCTGCACTATACAGAGTCCTTCACCATACACGCAAACACACACATGTATAAACATGTAAAAGTAGGAGTAGAGCTCTTTGCATGCTGAAGATACAACAGCCCGAGCAACAGAGGAGGAGATATGTCAGGACAACAAAAAGCCAGAAGTTTCAGATCATACCATGGCTGGCGTAGCAGAAGGAGGGATGGAGGATGGAGGGATGGAGGGATGTTGGAGGAGGTAAGGAGGCGGGCGAGGTTACCGTCGGCGCGTACCATTGGCCTTACCGCAGGGGGGTGAGAGGAGGAAGAGGAGGAGGAGGAGGAGGACGAAGAAGAAGAGGAGGACGAGGACGAGGAGGAGTCAGCTGGCTTTAAGGAAAGGCAACAAAGATCAGCACCAGAGCAGCGCCTTGATATGTGCGCGCGCGTGTGTGTGTGTGTCATTGTGAATTTAAGGTGTGTGTGTGTTCTAATGTGAGAGTAGTGAGAGTTTCACACCAGTTCAGAGCAAAACGTACTCACACACCACCAGGACAGTGAGAGTTCAGCCTTAGATCAACCCTCACATGGCGGAAAAGGTGAGAAAATAATTTCAGCTGCGCCAGGAGGGAGAATTCTGTACAATATTCCGGACTGCATATTGAGACTGGCCCAATCCTCTGTGAGGGCCACATTGGGCTGAATCACCTCTTATCACACTACTAGAAGATTGAGACATGTAACTGTAAGATATTGGGAAATTGCCGTGCAGCGCCTTGGGGGCCAAAATAATGAATGATGGTCTGGGGCAGCCACAAAGGGGAAAGGAACTGACTGCGGACGTGTCTTTGTGCAACCCTGTGTGTGTCATGTGAGGCCATGGGTTTATATGTGCAACTAGGGGCGCTTCTGTAGCTATCTGTTCTGCTTTCTGCCAGCTGAAGCTACAATACAGTAACAGTGGTTGAAGCTTTACATTTAATTCAGACTTCATTTATTAAAAGCATCTTGGCATTTAGAGCCATGTCTCATTTGAGTATGCAACATTCAAGCCATTCTTTGATAGATATGATCCATGGGAAGTTATACATGTTCTGGTTTTGTGATAAAAACAAAGTGAAGTTAAAGTAGTTTTAGTGCCTAAACCATACTTAAAGTGATCATTTTGTATTGTTGACCACATGTAAATGATTGCTGCATGGCCAAAAAGTCATACATGTTGAACATTTGTCCACAAAATGTATGTTGAAAATCTAACTCGATGAAGCTTATCTATCATTGCTTACTGGACCGCTTCATCTTGAATGCATAACAGAATGATTCTTGTTTACTATTGCTATCTGGTTTATTGCATTATGACTTGAATATAAGTGAATGTTGCATTTTTATAAATGCCTACTGTCTTCGAGCCTCGCATGCGCCTCGCAAAGTGATCATAGAGTATGATCGACATAGTCATAATATATAAAAATACTAACAGCTGCATGCAAAGCTGGCATATTTGTTAAGTTGAAATTATGTTGGAGAAAACATACATCAAATGTATGCATCTGTGAGCAACAAAATCACTTTTAAAATAATCCTTCCAACTATTTTCTGATCAGAGGCATCAGAAAACCACAATAAATAAAGTCAACTCATTCAGTGTCACTGATAAAATGATTCAAGATGCTTTTGGAAATTGAAGCCAATCATTAATTACATAACACTGACACAAATAAGACATACTGTAGGGAGACAGCCACTTGTGGTCCTGGCATTGCAACATTAGACTCTGCTGTGAGTGACAGATCAACTGAGAGTCCAATCTATGACTCAGGAGTTGTTCACACAGGAGTTGGTTTGGACTCTGGTAAAATACCTTAATACAAAATAATGCAACATTAATCCCAGTCCTTCTTTGGATACAGTAGAGCTTAAGCAGGAAGATTTACATTGAAGGAAGGAAGCGGCAAGAAAGAGAAACACAGAAACAAGAGAGAGGGAGAAGGAATTAAAGGCAAAAACTGAAGGGATAGGGAAAGGGGGGGGCGAATAGGAGCCACAGAGTAAGGAAAGTTAGGAAAGCAAAGAAGGAAGTAAAAACCATAGGGCAAAAGTAGATTGAGATATAAGTAAAGGAAGGATGGAAAGAATGAAGCGTTTAAGGGAATTTTAACAGAGCCGTATACACAAGTTTAATGAGCACACACTATGATGTGATTTCATCTAGTTAGTAGACAATGATTTATTCTTGTATACTTACTCTGTGCAGCTTACAAAACCTATTTTAGGAAGTCTGGAGTTCTTCAGTAAAAGTATGTTTAGAATAGTATTTCATTATTTGTTTATGTGTTTTGTGTGTCTAATAAGAAGTGCTGAGACTTTCAGACGTAGAGGGAAGAGGAGTAGAAATGAAGGAATGTAGGAAGGGAGGGAGGAAGAGTGATGGATACAAGGAAGACAAGGATGAGTTGGAAAGAATGCCCCAAAAGTGGCTTTCAATCCTTAAAAGTGAATAAAATATATCTAAAATATGGATTATGTGTGTTTGTGCGTCACTAACAAAACGGCACGTAGGATCAATTGAGACAAATTTCAATTCTGAAGTTGCTTCAACTTCTACATGAAATAAAAGGTGTGAATCAGAATCATCTCTCCTCAGTATTTTTGTCACGTGACACAGAAAATTGCAGAGACTGCAGTGTTTTTGCGGCCCTGAGGGATCCGTGCATGGGGTTCATTTTTCATAAATATACAGTAGAGCTTTCAGTTGAACTACAGTGCAGATGTGAGTTTCTTTGATTGAAGCTCATTTGATGTATGAGCTCATTGTTTCAAGTCATGTTTTCAAGCAGAAATACATCATTTCAGACAGTTCAGTTGGTTACATGGGTTTCTTTGGAGCATTGTATAATAGATCTGAGGCTTTAACACCTTTTTTTTTTTAAAGTTTGATTCTTATGTTGCTAAACGTGTAATAATGCAACACTTCATTTCATTTTAATGAGATGAAGAGCACAGTACACGTTTATATCAGAATGATTTTAAAATATATATTATTTTACATGCAAAGCATGAGAGACCCATGTGACCCTGCTTGCATTTCAGGTGAGCAAGCAGTACTACCAACCAATGAGAAGAAAGACAGAGAAAAAGAGAGATAAACATCCACAAAAGAAGAGTTAAGAGAAACGAAAAAGGTCAGAAAGAGAGTTGAAGAGGAGAAGAGGAGGAGAGGAGGCATTCCGAATAGAGATAAGGAAAGGAGAAATAGATGCAGTCCATACTGGCATCGCCTGCAAGACACCGCTCAGAGCAAACCACTACCAATCTGTTCACACTACTTCTACTCAAACCAAAACCAGAAACGTAAAAAGAAACCACATAACATTTAAGAAGCACCCGCAGGTTGCAGGGGAGAATTAGAGACCCAGGATGAAGGAAGCATTCTAAATCGAAGACCGCACAAAGTGCTGCTAATCCAAGACAACAAGCACCCAACAGAGCAGCAAAGTGGGTGATCTCAAACAGAATATTTTTTGGCCATTTAATATTTATTAAAGGCGTAGGGATAACATTTTAAAAACTGGCCTCCTACTGCACTTCACTCTGTACTTAGGAATGCAATGAAAGAGAGCGAGCTGTTGGCAAACTGCCGCTAGTTTGTAATTGCATTGCTCAGTACCTTAAAAAACATCCACTTGTGCATGGGTGCCTAATGAAATTCAGTAGAAGGCTTCAATCTAAAATGTCTAACTTGACAAGGTGGAGATCAAAAACAGTCCAGAGTTCTCACAGGATTTAAGTGCGGAGGGTTTCTTAAAGAAGAAAAATAAAAAAAGGTAGCTTGGGCATCGCATCACCCAAATCATTAAAAAACACCGGAGAAAAAGGAAAAAAAAAAAGACTTGGGGCATGCCTTTAGGTTAGGGGTGAGCGAAAGTCAAACAAATCAAACAACACAATCAAGCCAAAGGCAGACTCCAAAGCAAAGTGTTAGATGCAAAATCAGTGACTTGTATAGATGACAAAGATGTATATCTCTGGCCCAGCTAAACTCAGCATTACGGTATCTAATCAATCACTGGTTAAATATTGTCAGTTCCCAATAGACATGTTATATCTGAAATTGATTTACCCGTCAGCCTTTATTTAGTCTCTATGTACTGTATTTATTTATATACACAGGCATACTGAGCTTTAAGATCAGCTCAATTCTATCTCAGCAGGATGTAGACCTTCTCTGTAGACCTCAGAATAACTTATTAAAACTAGAAATATCCAAGCACAGGTTCGAAATTATCCAGCGTTGTTTATGAAAAGCTGTGTTGGCCTCTCACAGGAACAAATGGATTCCCTTTCTGAAGGCAGGAAAACAACTGCCAAGCTCACACACCCCTGGGATACACTAACCTTATTTGTATGCCTGACCAGTGCTGTCTGAGGTGAAACACACTGCATTCCAGCGTCAGAGAACACACCGGTGTACCCGTGTGCATATCTTTGCTTTGCTTCATGACCTCAAACCAGCGGCAGGCTGAGGGAGGATTTCAGAAGCTGTATTATATTGCATTTCTGCTTGTATCCAGAATTGATATAACATTATCAAATATGTTTAACTCAACTGAGACTTAATGTCTATGTCTTCATGTATTTTGGAAAATAGGATATAAACAAAGATTTAGTGTAAACACATTCAACACATTGATTTGTTTCTTGAAAATAGTTAACTGTTTGCTACAGTTAAACTGGGCCCAACAGTTGGCTAGCATAGCTTAGCATAGAGACTGAGAGCAGTAAAAAGCCGCTATCTGGGCTCTGAAAGTTTTCAATTAAAGAAGGTTTGTAATGAAATATTATTTTTCCACATCCACATTCTTCCACTCCTTTAAAGAAAGCGAGCAAGCCTATTTGTGAAGGTGTGTTTTTTTCAAAAGGATCCATCGTGCTGCATGAAATTAGCTTTGTAGAAAACCAAGCAAGGCAGGTAAAAAAAAATCTATTCAAGTAAAGACTAATGAAGAGCTGCCTCCACCTATACTTCCACTTAACCTTCTGTCATTCTTCTGAGGACACTTGACTGGATTTTGCTACTAGAGATGCAAAGAGTGGCAGACACCATCACAATATAAAAGTCAGTTTTTTTATGTGAAAATCTCTGTTTTGGCTAGTCTAATCATGAAAACGTCGTCTCTGGCAATCAGCATGCATTGTAAAACATGTCCTCTGTTAAGGCTAAATGGTGTTGAGCTCTGTCCAGGCTCACACAGCAGTTTGGATGCTTCTCAGAATATTCTCCTGCCAAAGAGCACTTTGACTATAACATGAATAAAACAGCAATTATCCCTGAAGTGTAAATACAATAGACACTCAACATTTGACTTGTGTTTGGGATAGTCATTCTTATTCAGCCCCACTGTTGACCATAGGGCCCTCCATGTTGATAATAAATGAATTCATACATACATCTACATAAATTTCACGGGACCTGCCTAAATTCATTTATGGATCAAATTGTTCCCCATGTCTGCACATTGCTATTGTTGGACAAAAAAAAGCAACAGCAAGTTATATTTTCCTCATTTGAATGCGAAGTTTCCCGGTGATTTATGAATTGAGCGAGTTAAATAACCCGTGGGTCAAAATGCCATTGTTCGAAAATGAGGAATTTGCTACTTTTCTAGAAAATCATTCTAGTTCAGTAATGCAGATCTTTTCTGAAAACATTACATACAGTACCAGGCCTTGATATACCATCTTTATATCTGTCATGCTATACAGCGTCCATCATGCAAAGGGAAAAGACACTGTCCCCTTTGGCAGTGACAAAAGATCAAATGAAACCATGTGAAAACAAACCAAGTGCTGAGACAATGCAATAGGTTCTATTGGCAAATGCAATAGTTTTTTGATGCTCAGCAGACCGAGTCATGAATACCTCTCTGAAGCAGTTTCAAATATTAGAATCCTTACACATAATGATACTAAAAGAAAGAAATAAAATTTATATTTTCAGCCTTATTAAGTAATTAGAACTTGCAGAAACAGAAAAAAGGGTTGGGAAACAAGTTGATTTAAACAGCCTATATTATTATTATATTATTATAAAAAATACATTTAAACAATAAATAATATCGTGAAGAAAGATCAAGTTAGCTCTCCAACTTCCAAAACATTCATTATAAGTAAAAAAAAAAAAAGTATGGCAAAATAACAATTTAGTTGATAATGAGAGTTTCCGAGCATAACTGTTTAACTTAAAGGTTCATATGTTGAATTGACACAAACCATTGCATGTGCTCTGTTTTGATTGTGCCACATCTGGCTGCATTCACTGCCAGACTTCAGTCGTGTGTTCAGATCGAATGTGGTGCGGCTGAAGTTTTCTAAGTATTTGAAAGCATGCGAGATGAGTATCAGCGCTCGGTCTGTTTGTGTGTGGGGGAATGGCAGAGCAGGCAGGCAGGAAGGGAGGGAGGGAGTTTGACTACTTACGTTAACCTCAGTGATCGCTATGTCAACAATGCTACCCACAACTATCAAGGCATCAAATGTGTTCCATGCATCAACAAAATAATGCTGCGTAGGGGTGGAAGAACAGAAAAACAACAGAAGAAAAGGACAGAACATAAGAACATTTAAAAAATGGAAAGAATGGCAATGAAAAGAGAGAGGAGAAAAAAAATAAGATTATATACATGAACACTGAAGTTCTTAGTAGGAGGAAGGGACAGAATAAAAAGAATTTAAACAGCAAAAAAAAGAAAAGAAGGGGCAGTCTGAAAGAGATGGAGTGCAGAGGTAGAGCAGCGCCGGTTGGTCATGCTTGTACATGAGAAGAAAATACAACAACAAGAACAGTAAATAACAAATTGCAACAAAATCACAACTTAAAAAACGCCGCTGTTGCTGCAGTTTAAAAAAGAAAAGAAATAAATGTGTAAGTTGTTTAATGATTGGTCAGTGAGTTAGTTCAGTTAGTGAAGGAAACAGACCTGAGGACATGTCACAGTCTGACAAAAAGTGGAATAAGTGGAATACCGTGAAGAATTAAGAACGAGAACGCCAGACAGAAACCCTTTGCATTCAAAGCTTCACCTGCCTGAGATCCTTCTAGTTTTCTTATTTAAAACCTACTAACAGGATCACTCTTGCTCAGGAACCCTTGTGGTTGGCTTCCCCTGAGTAGCAGCGGCCATCTTGGAGTCAAGGGTGGAGGGAGAAGGGAAGCAGGAGAGAGAAGAAGTAAAGAAAGAAGGAAGAGAGATACAAAGAGGAAAGACAGCACAACACAAGATAGCCACAAAGGACAGGAGAGTGTCAGGAAATGGACAATTGAGGAGAAGCAAGAGGGCACAAGACAGAGAGAAAGAGGGAGCGACAAGGAGAGTGGGCTTCGTACTTACGTTGATCTCACTGAGAATGACGTCTATAATGCTGCCAATTACGATGAGGAAATCAAACACATTCCAGGGATCACTAAAGTACCCCTACACAGGATGAGGTGAGCAAGAGGAGGAGGAGGAGGAGGAGGAGGAGGAGGGTAAGAAAGGTAGGTTAGAAGGAAAACAACATCTGCTGCTACTTCGCAGCCCTCTTAAGGTGGTATGAGGTCGTACAGTACACAAAGGAAACAAAAAAAAATCAGCTAATGACCCACTACATGAAGGAATCTTAATTCTAATTCTAATGAACCTAATCAATTTGTTTCCTCTGCAGTATTGCTTCATCGAGTGCAGCTGGCTTTCCTGTCAGGATGGCGTGTTAGATAGCAGTTACTTAAGCATCTTGGGGCAATTCAGCGAAATGTGTTGCAGTGATTATACTGAAAGCTCACTTTGTTTACTTAACTTATTGTTGGCAATTCATCAGCAGCAGTAGTACAAAGTGAGCATTTATGAAAAACATCCAGATAGCTTCAGGCAAAAACAGAATAATTTCAGCTGGTGAAATAAAAATATATTATATGGACTGAAAAGGAGAAGTTGTTTTCGTTGCTCACTCAGAATTGTTATCACTCTGAGCTTGGAGGGATAATTATGTTCCTGTGTCTGTAACGGCACTTTTTGCAACAGGATTGGAGAAAAACTGATTCTCATTGTATGTCTAAAAGTTGTTTGACATCTGATCAGGGGAAATAGAAGAATCCATTTTTGGATAATGAGATGTGAGGCCACTATCTTTAAAAAAATGTTTAACTTTTAAACAAGCCCCATAAAGTTGAACGAATCCAACATAATGTTTAGCGTCACACTGATAAATATGCACATACTACATAACTACATGCTCGGAGAAAATCTATCTTCCTGATCTATTTTAAGCTTCATCATCTGTCAAACGCAGCTGATGTATCATCATAAAAAAACAAAAACTCTTTTTTTCGGCAAAATTCACCTGCAGCTGTTACTACATGCAAAATAGTACAAGCTTTTCTTTGGATTGAATATTCATTTTAATCTAGTGTTTTTTTCTAGTTAGAATATTAATGTAATATCAGTTACACATTAGTATATAAATACATATGTGTGCTGTGATTAATTTGATTTGATACACTTCCATAGGCACACATTAGTTTCAAATAATAAGAGATCAGATGATCAGAACCTTACAACACATTATAAAAACACAGTTCAAGTGTCAACATGAAACAGAAGCTCCTCAAAGGCAGAGGAGACAGTACAACCAGTTCAAAGTTCATATTCATAAATTTACAGTTCAAATTATGCAAAGAAAAACCGTCCTGGAGCTGATCCCATTTGTGTAATACCTGAGAATAAAAGTGTTAGTGAGCTGGTCCTCTATGTGGCGGCTGTATGAAGAAAAAAGTTTATAAAAACAAACCAGGATTATTAAAGAACATCCAGGAGTTGTAGGTCACACACAAGCAATGTTCAATGTGACTTGGGAACATGTCTTCATGTCGCACATAATCGTTCCATGTAGACAAAAGTGAATGAGTGACTATTTGTATCGTTTCTTAAGGTATTCAACTTGTTATCGATCACAACGTCAGAGAAACTCTGACTTACTCATTCAAATAAAACATAAATAGGAGCTGTAAAACTAATTTTAGAAATCTGGCATTTTACTTCAACATTACATAACATTTCATTTATAATGCAGTGCGGCATGAAGGCAATTCCCAAGCCTTAAAAGTTGTCCTGCGCAGTTAGGAGGATGTTCCAGCTGCGGCTTCGTGTGCCTAAAAACACTGAACGCAGAATGTTCTACAGACTTAATGGTACACGTACATCATTACATACAAAAGTAATTACATGATCACTCGGTGTTGTCCATCTCATCCACCTCCACTAAATCATCACATTTTAAGGACAACAAAATAAAGTCTGAGCATGAATGTATTCTATATTCTACCTCACCCACTAACCAGCTGTAACTCATTGTATAACATAATAAAAAACAATACACATTATTTCCTCCAACACAAAAAGTTCTCTTTTTCTTTATAAACCCCAGGAGGTTGGTTTAAATGATTCTCTAAGATGTTGTTAATTTTGTAAGAATAGAAATACTCTGTTAAACGGTATACCTGAGGGCAAGCTAATATAAGAGAGAAGAAAAGAGTTGCCCTTGGCAGGGGGTTTAATCTCCCCTTCATATTTAAAGAAGCCTGTCAGTGAGCTGAAGAGCAAATGACTTGATGTGTCATTTCTGCTTGGTTGAAATAATCTATAAATATCATCAGTTACTGGGAAAAAAAATGTTTTCTAATAAACATGTTCTTATCTACAGCCCGTACAGTGCATCTACTTAGATATGCCTCAGATTGTACAATCAAATGATGTTTTTGCTATTGATTTTGTGAAAGGATTTTCCACTAACCCAGCTATAACAGTGAGAATAATTCCCTTCTGTAACTGTTTAAATAGATGATGGATCAGGAAATTCTGTGATTGGACCAATATAGACACAGAGCTACAAAGCAACAGCGGGAGGGTAACAAGGGAGCAGTCAGATTAAAAACCACATGAAGCTGTTTGCTTAACAAGTTTGAACTCTCTGATGTCATAATCATCACCGGGAGGAAATCAAACAGAGATTCAGTTCAACAACAGTAAGGAATCATGAAATGCTATTTAATGTTGTAGTCTATATTCATTTATTATAATACATAAGTATTAATAAAAAGATTTCTATATTTGTTTGCTCAAATCCTCTGCTGTAACCTACTGTACTGTACTTTACCACCATGCTGTTCTATTCTGCAGCTATAGAAGTGGACCTACCCTGGGTTTGAAGGCAATCAGTTTTAGAATCATCTCCACAGTGAAGAGTCCAGTGAAGAGCATGTTAAGGATGTTCATGGCATCGTTGAAATTTTTAGTCTGCCCATGATGCTGCAGAGACACATAAACAGCTCATTAATGTCGGTAGAGAAAGGCTGGTTTATAGGAGTTTATTTTAAAGCCCTGATTGAAATATTTTCCCATTTTATTCATGTTAACCATCAGTGAGTGTATATGTGTGTATGACTTACCTGCATGGCCAGACAGATAGTGTTGAGGAGGATGAGGGTGAACATCAGGTACTCAAAGTAGGTGGAGTTGACCACATACCACACTTTGTACTGGTAGGGATTCTTGGGGATGTAGCGGCGCAATGGACGTGCCTTTAAAGCGTACTCCACACACTGACGCTGTGACAAGCAGAGACATAATGTGAGCAAACACAAACCAAAGACATTTGCCTTTTACATTTGTGTGGTGGTGTCTTTCTTCAGCACTCTGTTTTTCTTTACTCAGACTGTCATGGAAGTAAGGATGTACAATTGCTTTTTGGAAGTCTAAAAAAGGCTACTCCTGCCTTCTCTCTGTGTATTTCCTCATCATTACAGAGAACACAGCTGCAGGGACTTGGCCTAGCTCTTTCTGTTAGCGCAAGTCTCAGCCTCTGTCTGAGGTGCTGCCGCTCCCTCCTGGCTGCACTCCTGAAGTAGTTCAGCCCCCCCCCTCCCCCAAAAAAACTCATGTTCAGCCTCGCCAGAATCTCCCACCTCTCCCCCGCCTTCCTGGCCTTCATTCTCCCTCCCATGTGCCTCCTGAATGACAAAATGACTTTCATGGCAGAACAGCAGAGTCACTCCGCCTTTGATTGTAACCAGAAAACTCCTACTGTCCTGCTGCTGAAAAACATAAAACTGCACTTTAACACTCACAAACATGCAACCTTACCTGGTTCTTGTCAAGCTCACAGTTCTTATATTCCTGCTCTCCTTGCTCCTGGAATGTGACGATCACAAAACCGACGAAGATGTTCATCATGAAGAAGGCGATGATGATGATGTAGATGATGAAGAAGATGGAGATGACAACGCGGTAATTGTAGATCGGCCCGACATCCTCAGCGTGAGAGTCTATGGCCCGGTACAGCAATCTGAAGAGAGGAGGAAGATGAATTATGCAGGGCAGCAAGAGGAGAAGAAGAGAGGCACTAAACTCTCAGACACTTAAGGAATAACAGAATAGGATACATAGAATTTGGAAAAACACTTAAAACAGTAGAGTGCATATGATATGCAAATGTGTATATTCATGTGTATTGTGTTTGTATGTAGACACACCCTGGCCAGCCCTCGAAGGTAGACACAGCAAAGAGAGCCATCATGCCTTGCAGGACGTCGTCGAAGTTAAAGTCACTATTCTCCCACACCCTCAGGGCTCTTTCAGGCTTCCCAACATCACCATCCTTATACATAATGTAGGAACCCCTGTGAACACAAGCAGACAAACACAAATTCACGTGTTTTATCCAGTAGTTATGTTTCAAGAGAGAAATAATAAGCTTGCGTGCAGGCTGGACGGATCTCTTACCTGCATTCTGCATGGTTTTGTTTCGAGCTGTCGGTACAGAAGAAGAATTTGCCCTGATGGAAAAAAGATCAACAACTCAGTATTGGAAAAAGAAAACCACACAAAAAACCTACAGTTGTGACATTATCAGTGATGACATTCACGAGGCCTGCACACAGGTCTAGACTCTTCTTTTCTTCCTTTTGTCATTACCTTAAAGAGCTGTACTCCGATACAAGCGAACATGAACTGCAGTAACGTGGTGACGATGACGATGTTGCCGATGGTCCTGATGGCCACAAACACGCACTGCACTACATGCTGTAAAACACAGCAGAAGTGTTGGTGAGTTAATTTATTGTAAAGAAGAGTGCAAGTGTGGACTCTGTGTTTGTTTGTTTTTGCACGAGTGCTCTTACCTTTAGTCCCTTGGCTCTGTTGATTGCTCTCAGCGGCCTGAGCACTCTCAGAACCCTCAGGATCTTCACCACGTTAATTGCACTGGACCTGAAACACACAGGGGGTTAAACTGCTGACCAGTGCATCAGATTAAACACACATTTTACTGTTGAGATATCTTCTCAAAACTGGAACAACTCACAGCACTTTTAATAGCATCTGTGTTGAAGGTTATTAACAAAAACTAAAGCAGTGGTCAAAACACTGTGGAGACTGAGACGACTCAACACACACGCTAAGGAAATAAAAAGACCAACAACTGAAATCATATCACGTCTGATGATACAAAAATGATCTTAAAACTGTGAGTAAAAATGCTTTTTTAAAAAAAATGATCTATAGAGACAAGTAAATAAAAAATAGATATTTGAAAAAAAAGTTAAATTAGAGTAGGGGAAGAGCATACTTTTACATAAGATATGTCAATTATAGACTTTATGCTGGAAAAGAAACAAAACTCAACTATCTTTTAAACTATGTTATCGTATATCTCAATTGTGAAGCATTAGATTTGAGGGAGGTGCATTTTTTTCAGGTCAAAAACGTGATGATTAAGCTTAAGTAAGATGGCAAAATAAACATGAACTAATAATAAACAACACAAATGGACATAAAACACAGCACAGCACATATACATACGTTTCACGCACAAACACACATGAGAACAGCACAAATAAATCCACACGAACACACACGTTTACAAGCAAACAGAGAGTTACTGTGCTGTAAGAGAGTTTCAGGTCAAGCCAAAGGTCAAACAGTATGACCTTGTAAAGGAAGTGGATCAAAAGGAAAGTTTTACATACTAACCAAAAGAATCTAATGAATACCTTGACATTTTGATTTTTACCATAAATGCTTGAAAGAGCTTCAACATGGGTCCTTCTGTTATCTGAACCTGGCTTTCAAAGCGTAATTATTATTACTTGATTTAAAGAGGTATAAAAATGCTGCAAATCTAGATTCTTTATGTTAAACGTCAGCACAGAAAGCAAAGCAGTCATTCAGGTAACTGAAGAACAAATGAAGGAAGGTAGAAGGAAGAAAGCATATTCAAAATGTCAATGTATCCTTTCAAGGGAGTAACTTATAGATGGGCAAAGAAGTGATTTAACGGGAGTGATATTACTTTGTGTCGGCTTTTAACAGAAAAGTGAGGAGCGTTGTGCAACTTTTTAGACAGGAAGGCAACGTTTTAGGGAAGTTAAAGGTAGTTCACGTAGAGTAGGATGTTATCAGTAAGATATTACAGTCAAACCAAGTGCTCTAATATATTCTAGTGTTAGTTCGATCCATACACGTTCTATACATTACCTCTTTAATGATGTATATCTATGCAAAAGATATAGATATGCTTCAGTTTCTTGACTTAGAGGAACAATTCACATTTGACACCATTTGAAGACTGCCTAATTGTGACCACTTTCTTTAAAGAGCAGAAATACGCTTTCCATATACATATATACAGTATATACAACATATATCTATCATATTGTGATCTGTTTAAGGGCTAGTTCTTCTTTTCTATAGCTTCTCTGCAGTGTGAACAGATACTTCAATGACAACATGCCAAAATATTTCATAGAAGAGTCTATCTCCAAGAGACACTAGGCGATTTTGTTATTATTGTTAGCAAAACAGTGTCAGGGGGGGGGGGGGGGGGGGGCATTAAAACTACTGAATACAACACCATCACAATTAATTTGACTGTGATATATTCAAGACAAATCCTGCACACAAACTACTTTTAACAGGCAAAACCACTGAGTTTTAGCATTCAAGTGTCATTTCTATAACCTGGGAGAGTTCAGCAGAGTTTGACCCGTCTACAAGTCTATGACAAAGACTGATGAACAAACATATTTACCAGATATGATGATGACAGTAATATAAGAGGACCCATAATCACAAAAGATACTCTTGTTCTTGAATATGATCCCTGCGAGGAGACATTTTGGCAGGCATTGAATGCAAAAGCATACAATGTGCTCATAACAACAAAACCCCTCATTTATGATCAATACTGTGTAATCCTTCTACACTCAACCCTTGTTGATGACATCAGATTAGAGTCTTACTTCAATTTTTCTCACTTGAAATGAGGCTTTGACTTAACTCTCCAAGACCATAGAAATACCAAATCAAAAGAGTGACACTTTTACACATTAAAGGTGAAGGTCTGTTAAGGGGGTTATTGATACAGACTAATGTGGACTTACTTCGAGAAGTCTAGACTATTAAGCGTTAGAGACAGAGAGTGTAGCATAGCATATTAAACATCAGAGATATTGCAGTGTTCAAGGAGTTATTTGCTACAAGAAGCAGAGAACATTTTTAATAAACATCACAAAGAGAGAGATTGGGAGTAATGAAGTGTAAAGTTGTTAGAGAACAGAAAGAAGTGTGAAGCATGAGGTAATTTACAAATGAAAATGTCCTCACTCAGCCACTTAGCAATTTGATCTGTGTGTTCTTAGATTGGACAAGGAACTCGTACACTAGTCATTATGTGGTTGACTAGTCCAGTAGTTTAACATTTAATAAAACAATTGTGTGTTTGATTACACTCAAAGATTCACTGGCAACATCCATGGAACGTACTGCCAAATAATGTTGTTAGTATCAGTGCACAACAATTGAGAAACATGCAATAGAAAACATGAAGTTTCACTCACTGTATTCCAGAGGAGATGAGAGACACACTGACCACCACCAGGTCCAGAATATTGAAATAGTTTCTACAGAATGAACCTTTATGGAGGAATGCTCCATAGGCTGTCATCTGTAGAGGTTAAAGTTCAGATTTTGGAGTCAAACAAAGAAGAATGAAGTCACATCTTAGTAATGCACATGGGGAATACGTACCTGCAAATTGTCTCTCTCTTTTAACTTACTTTACGGAAGGTTGACTACCAAAATCACATTGTTAAAAGTTATCTGAAAGTCATCTCTATAGAGTTCTCTACCCTTCTCAACAGGCTAAAACAAACATCAACCGCTGTTTGCTGCTTTGCATAGCAAAATATCAGCAGCAAAAACGTTAGATTCTAATGTGTCCTACAGGTAGAAAATGTTTTAGAAGATTGGTAATACATGAGAGAGTGCACATTTATAATGCTGCACTTGCAGGCCAACTTTTCCTACATCTCCATCATTAAATACTACCTTAAGTATGATCTCTATGGTGAAGAGTCCAGTGAAGACATGGTCTGCATAGCCCAGGATCTGAAACACAACAAGAGCATGATTTACATCAATTCAGATGAAGATTTCCATGGACTACACAAGAGTATTATAACAGTTTTAGTTTAGTTTAGCATGATTAACATACAGATTTAGTTCATGTGATTTATCTGCCATGATAGTATGAACTAAATTGTAAACAAAACATTGTGAAACAACACGTTAAAGAAAAAAATCTATATGACCAACTCATCTGTCGTATTAGTGTTAGTGTTCTCGGCTAGCATGCAAATATTTACACAGAAAAAAAGAGAGAGTAAAGAAGAGGGCCAGATCTTCAGGGGTTTATGTTGAACTCATGAGCTACTGTAGAATATTCTTTGATGACTCCACAATACACTGAAATATTAATGAGCTTCAGGTCTGAGGATAATACATTCAGATTTGACTTCAATAGACTCATGAAAAAAGAGCAGTTTCTGAAAAACAGGATGTATTATTTCATTAAGGCTCAGAGCAAGGTTAATTTAGTTGGACTAATAGACAGCGGTCTCTACTGTAGCCAGGGAAAATAGAATAAAGCAGATCTTTATTAGCCCTCAGGGGGGTTGCCTTGCTCACTACGGGATGAAATAATATAGAAACGCAGACACAGAACAAACAGTGTGTCTTTTCTTTACATCAAACTGTAGCTTACAAATGACACCCATAAACACTAAACAACATTACTGTAATGTATACATAATATGTTGTTCTATTGGTGTATAAAACTGCAGTGCAGATTTATCTTTCATAACAGTACAGGTTATTGGGGTTTAGAGTTGGATTCATCCTGAATATAAGGTATCTGTTTTAGTATACAAATGATTAAAATACATTTTTTATACTTAAAAGATTGCAAAAGCCTGAACTATCAACACGCTTTCGTTGTCGTCTGGGTAAGATTGGATCATTCTTTGACTTTGAATATACTTACTGTTAAATTCCAGTCTAGCTAAAAATTAAAAACTTAAACGATCAAAATAAAACTTGACAGGCGTTTCACATCTTCTTAACATGAATTTAATCACAGTCCTCTGAAATAAATCTCATTAAGTGTAACAAGCCAGTCGATCAGTGCTGGTTCCTCTATATGTTGCTGTCGGCTATAACCCATTTAGCACAGAATACATGTGGGCAGCTAATGATGACTGTGTATGCTTCAGTCCACAGCTATGTATATCTGGGTCTGAGTGTGTAAATAAGGTGTCTTCACTTTAATGAATGGTCGTGTGTGTGTGTGTGTGTGTGTGTGTGTGTGTGTGTGTGTGTGTGTGTGTGTGTGTGTGTGTGTGTGTGTGTGTGTGTGTGTGTGTGTGTGTGTGTGTGTAACCTGGTTTCTGAAGGAGTCATTCTTGACCGGGTCTTCTGCTGCCAGACTGATGCTGCTCAGCAGGATGAAAAAGAGGATGAGGTTGGTGAAGATGTTGTGGTTGACGATCTTATGGCACAGGACCCTGAATCTAAAAAGCAAAGTGAATGAAACGGGGGCAGAGAGAGAGAGAGAGAGAGAGAGAGAGAGGGAGAGTGAATCATGTTTGAATCTCCAGTTACAAAAAACTGAACTTTTGGTGATCACAGGAAACAGAAGAGAGGGAAGAGGAGGCTAAGAACAGAAGGTAGAGGGATGAACTGAAGGATCTTCTTACTTATTGGTGTCGCTGAAGACAAAGAAGGCGCGGGCCTCTGGCATGGGAATAGCCTTCTCCTTCAGCTGAACGTCAGAGAGTGGCCGCGGCCTCGGGCCCACTGGCATCTCTGGCTCATCATCATCCTCGTCTCCTGATGGGAGGGAGGAAAGGAGAGTGGAGAGAAAAACAGTTAGTGGAGAACATAGAAGTAAGAGGACAGACATCAATTCTTCTAATAAGATCTTTCTTCACATATATAGATCACCTATGTAGTCATTGGCAGGATATGGGTTCTTCTCCTCACTCTCATCTCCACAGTAGTCATCCATGTTTATCTGAAGAGCAAGAACAACATATATTCATTGATTTCGTTTCTTGGACTCTGAACACCCTTTATTACTCACTTAGTAGAGTGACTATCTACTCAAGTCATTTTGTGTGTCTCTGTGTACCTTAGTAGCAGTGTTGGTCTCTCCATCAGAAGTGATGGACTTTAGCTCTATCTTCTCCTTCTTCTTCTCCTTCTTCTCCTCCAGAGGTGGCTTCTCGTTGTTATGACGCTTCTCTGGGCTGGCCAACCTACAGAAAGAGAGAGAAATGATGATGCTCACATTCATTTCACCAGAAGGACAACATAAACACGTAGTTTCATATCAGTGGTGTGGTGTATTTCAGAGTGTGTTATGATCAAGCTAAAAGGACAGTGGGGAGGCAAAAGGTTGTTTTGCATCACACTAATTTGCTGATCAATACAGGTGGCAACCAAGAAGGAGACATTCAATAATTTGTGCCACTGAGGGAACTCTATTTCCCTAAGATTCACAAAAAACTCTGACAAATTAGCTTTTTTAGGTAATTGCTAATACTACCCAATAAAATCAGTTTAAACAGAAAAGCAAAGCAGCAAATGTCAGCATGCCTTAAAAAGCTTCTAGCTCGTGTTATAACTGTTAAGCATCTTTATTACTTTGATTTCAGCCCTCCAGTTTCAGCATCCTTAAATGTGGCATTTCTGTCTATCTTGGTTGCCTAAGTTTAAGGCCTCCCTTTCTCCTGTTTCATTTTTCTTTGGATTTCATGTTTTCTTGTTCTAGTTTTACCTGGCCAGTTTCTTCCTCTCCTTCTCCTCCTCCTCTTCTTTCTGCGCTGATGTCAGGCTCTCAGCATCTGCAAGATTGTCCACAGCGATGGCCAAGAAGACATTCAGCAGGATATCTGATCAGAGGGGTGGAGTGAAGGATGTTGCTGACCCTTAAGATCATCATTGTGTTTAGTTGCAAACAATCCTGGTGGGCTCTGTGAATTATGAGTAACCTGTCCTGCTCTTGAAAGTCACTAAACTGCTGCTAATGCACAACAGCAAACAAAATATGTACCCAAAATCTTTCCTCGTGTCACAGCATCTCTGTAAGGATATGGATCTGATTGTATTTACATCACAAACAAGCATGTTATTATCCAATTGATAAAATCAATTTATCAGAATCAGAAAACAAGTAAGGCTCTCAATCTAAGCTCCAGAGTTTTTGTGTTGTTCTTTTCATCACAGATCAGCCCTCCAACACTGGGCTACTATTTAACTATATAATGTAAGCCTCGCTCTGCTGCAGCAGGATACAGTTTCCGCAGATGAAGAGGATGATGAAGTAGATGCAGACAAGCATGCCAGGAAAGGATGGTCCACCATAAGCCATTATACCGTCATACATGACAGAGTTCCAGTCCTCTCCTGTCAGGATCTGTAGAAAAAAACATGGGAAAATCCCAACATACAAAAGAAGTTAATTATAGCACACAAAATAAAAATATGTAATATTTATTTATAACATTTTAATTTATTTTGATTTCATCATATTCATTTTTGCCTAATCATATAATATCTTTTTCTTAATCTTCCTTTTATTTATTTTAAAAGTTCTTAATATAATGTTATTCAGTAAGATATTTTGAATTTATATGCTTAAACAAAACCTAAAAAACTACTTAACACTTTAATTGGAAAGAAGTGACAGTGATACATAACATGAAATGTCATTGTATTGTAAGACTTTTGTAAGAGTCATGGAAGAGAGATGGGACGAGGCAACTCTGCAGTCTGCAGCTTCATTACCTGAAACACAGTGAGCAGAGACTGGGGAAAGTTGTCAAAGGTGCTGCGTCGGGTCTCATCAAAGTTGAATTTCCCTCCAAAGAGCTGCATGCCGAGGAGGGAGAAGATGATGATGAAGAGGAACAGCAGGAGCAACAGGGAAGCGATGGAGCGGACGGAGTTAAGCAGGGAGGCCACCAAGTTTGACAGGGAGTTCCAGTATCTGAAGGAGAGATGTCCAGTTAATGTGAGCAAAAATAAAAGAACATACTGTACATCAGAAGATATCTCTTAAAAACATAGCACCATATCTGACTCATTTTCCCAGATGTCTGACATTTCCTCTCAGTATTGGGCATCCTGAGGATATTTGGGAACACAATAGTCGCGATTGTCTTTAACTGCCGAAAGCGGCTGCGGGTGGCTTTCAAATGTATGTGCATGTACTAGTGTTTGGGAAAAGGAAAAGGGATACAGACTCTTTGTCAGCAAAACTTTATCCATTATTGTCAGAATGACGATCGTCTCTAATTACCTGGTTATTTTGAAGATTCGAAGCAAGCGTACACAACGTAACACAGAGATGCCAAGAGGAGACATGATCTTTGTTTCCACCAGAATGGTCTCAAGAATTCCTCCACACACTACAAAGCTGTCGAAGCGATTGAAGAGGGACACAAAGTACGCCTGTGGAAAGAGAGAGAGAGAGAGAGGAGAGGTTTAAGGTAGTTGAGGTGGGAATTTTCCACCTTGTCTGTCTTTGAGTTATGAAAATACAATCTCTTAATAGAAACAAACAAACATAGACGTGAGCCACCTACCTGTAAACCCAGACTGTACATCTTCAAGAGCATCTCCCCGGTGAAGAGAGCTAGCAACACCTTGTTAGCTATGTCTGAGCAGGAGGAAAGAAAAGGGGGAGATTCCAACATAAAATAGGGAAAATGCACGCCAAAGAATGAGAGCAGGAAAAGGACAGATTGCAAAAAAAGGTAACGAGTTTAGCAACAACATAAAGTGCTATGTCGGGGCTTGAAATTACTTGAATGTGTGTGTGTGCTTTCATACCTTGTACATCTGTTAACCACTGAGGCTGCTGGTGGTGTTCGGAGGCGATGGTCAGAGTGTTGAGGAAAACCAGGAAGATGACCAGCCAATAGAAAACCTGGGATTTGACTCCAGCCCGGCACTTTCTCCTACACAGCCGGTTCCACCTCCGAGAGTATCGACTGAAGAGGAATAGGCAGAGATCGAGAGATGGACAGGTGAGGAAAGATTACAGATAGAAAGGGGAAGGAAATAAGGGACAGAAAGGCATTGGGAGGATGAGGAGCAGAGAGGAAGACAAGTGGGATAAGACAGGAGGAAGAGTAGGGAAAGAAGGAGTGAGAAAAAAATTAAAAAAGAGGAATGGAAAAAAAAAACAGCAGAGGAGAGAAAAGATAAAGAAAGTGTCAATTAGTCTGTCTACAGAGTAGTGATGAGATCAGCCTTTAGCCTGTGGTTTTCTGTTGTTTGAGGGGCAGAGCTGTGGAACAGTTAGTCATCCTCAAAGACGTTTCACACCAAGAAAAGAGCTTTGTAGCGGAATGAGATATGCTCCATTTGAAGGAAAAGGCTAACAAATGTATCTTGAAAAGTGTTTGTCATACACATGTTAAGGGAGTTTTGGCTTCAGAGAAGACAAAATGGTTCTTTTTATCATGTCTCTTCTTTTCAGACAATTCCAACAATTGTTCGGCATTGTGTTGAACACAAACGTCTTGCCCTCTACTGTTGAAAATTAAAGTTATTGTTTCTGGTAATTACCAGCTTCACACCTCTCGGTTGCATGTGTGTGGAAAAGGTCCACTCAAAACCTCATGGCAATTTTATTTTTAACCATATTGCACAACTGAAATGTAATTATACCCTTTTGAGATAATCTCAGTGAGAGAACAAACTGAAGACAGTCCTTGTTCTTCTTGAAAAATCACCAAAGAATACACATCACCCTACATTTTTACGTGTATACACTTGTAGGGGGAAACCAAATTAGACAATGCACTTGTGCAGCTGTTTTAACATACGGAGAGCCAGTTACTCCAAATTGATCTTTAAAGGTAATGAGGATCAAGTCATGTGTTAATGATCGACAAAGTGAATCAAAACAAGAAGACGACAGTCCAGAACAATTCTTACGTGATCTTGAACCAATCAGTAAAAAGATGAATCGATCATTAAAGAACAGAACAACCCCACCCCCCCCACTTGTCTTGTAAAGTGTCTTGAGATAACACTTAAATTAATAAATTGAATTGAATTGAATTGAATTAAAGATTCTTCTTCAATGTTAAATGTTAAAATGCTGAATCAGAGTTGATCTGTTGAGAAACTCAAAAGGGAAATTGCAAAGTCTGGCATTGGGTACAGACTGTCCGGCCGTTCAGAGGTTTACAAGCCCTTGAGGTGTCTCAGTTTGTTGAGATATGTTGGTTGTAAACCGGTTCTGGCTGGATTTAGGTGTTAGAGAATGGAACAGGAAGATCCATACATGACCAGCCTCGATGACATTGGCAGCAGAGATATGACTGCACTAGTGGAAGGCTTGTTATCAGGCTGACACAAACGCTTTTGAAGTGTGGAGTCGGCTTCCTGGCGCCGGTACGGTTATAAAATACCTTCTTGTTAGACATCGGAGGTTGAACAGACAGTTGTATTTTTCTGCACTTCATATTTTTTTTCCCAAAGGAACCCACAACACCAGGTGATTTATCATGTACTGTAACTTCTTCTCAAACAGATGTCCGCAATAAGCTGAAGTGTTTTCTCTCTCAGCCTATATCAAGTTCATGTTTTACTAGTCTTCTGTTTGAGAGTGTGAGCTGTGAGCCATGATGCCCACACTGAATGTTACATGAGTACACGACTCACATCACAACACAAGCAGACATGCATTCCTGAAGTTAAATACAGGTAACCTTTTGATGTCTGTGACTGTTTTTTTTAATGATCTTGTTTGACTTTTAGAACATTTGTTACGAGCATGTATTTTAAGGTGACGCAGTAAGTTGTTGTGGAAAAAAAATAACAGTCTAATAGTTTTACATTTGAGGACGCTGAATTGACTCTTACAAAGGGTTTAGATGGCAAGATCCAACCAATCTGATCAATACGGAGTCCCAAGTAGCAACAACAGGTGAGTTCAGCCTAACTTAGCAGGATTTGTTGCTTGGAGCAGATCCAGGCTAGTTGTGACCCCACTTTTAGTTCTGTGCTAAGCTAAGCTAACCTAAGCTGCTCGTTGTAGATCCATTTTTGCTCTCAAGAATTAGAGGGACTCAATCTTGTGGTCCTAGCTCTTGGCAAAAGTACTTCAAAATCAAGGCTGATTGTGGCTATTTGAGTTTGTCTTGTGTTTCTTGTGCACAATTGTTCACAATCACACCTCACACACATCCAGCGCCTGTACAGATACCACAACAGTTGAGACATTAGAGCAGCTGGATAAAAGGACCATGGTAAACATGTACTAACCTGAACTTGGATTTGGAGATCCTATTTCTGGAACACAAAAACAGAATGAATTATACATACACACATAACACACATAGAGACAGGTACACAACATGAACGGGGTGATTTGAGTCAGATAAAGGTGAAGAAGGTCCCCTTTATCCCATTTTAGATGCAATCACCTTAAATCAGTGAGTTAGTATTTTCTGGTTTAGGTAACAGAAAGTCAACTACACAAGCAGCAATCTCCCTGTCTTTTCTCTACACTACTTCATTACAATAATCCCAATTCATTTGGACAAATCACCCCTGCAGACATATATACAGTGGCATCCAGTCAAAAGAAAAAAAAAACCCTCTAAATGTGGTTTTCTCCAATCAGAACTGGTGTGAACAAACACAATTTATCAATAGAAAATAGTCTGTTGATTGTTCACCACTGTTCGAGCAAACACAATCACAGACATAAAGTACTGAGGACAATAGATTATGGAAGACATTGAGAAGAAAGGAGACGGTTGAAGAATATAAAAAAGAAGAGACAAGAAAAAAAAATCCCCCATTTGGATATTTAAATTCACAACATGCCAAATTGTTTGAACATTTTTTGCTTCTCCAAGGGGGGGGGGGAACCCCTGCTCTAATGACAACAACACTGGGGTTTTTTACTCTTTGGGACCAAATATGTACTGATTTATTTTGTAACGGCAGATAAACTGACAGACCTACTTGACTGACTGACTGACTGACAGAAGCAATGAAATGACTCACTGACTGACTGATTGAAAGAATAAAATGACTGACTGGCTGGATATGGAAGCTGACAGTACACACGTCTCTTCCCTCGATGTGTCCATCTAGATTAATAGATCAGCAGGCGCCAAAGTAGCTCTTACCCCGAGGTCTGTCTCCATAGCGATGTGTAGAAGAACAGACTGAAAGTCTCAGCACTATCTGCATAATAGTTGGAGCATGCGCCCCTCGCTAGACTTGTTGCAGGTTAACAGAAGTAAGTTTATTAACACACATGTATGTTTGTTAATTCTGGAGCTCCTGTGTGGGTGATAAAAGGAAGGCTGAAGACTCTTTGTTTTTCTGTTACTGTATCATATATACACCATGATTAGGTTAGCACTTGAGTAAACTCCCCCTGTAAATGAAAAGCTCATGAAAACCATAATAAGTGATCCCAAAGTCAAGACTTTTCTGTTTTTTTGTTTTGGTCCAGAACCACTAATCGAGAAAGTAACAGACGGATTAATAACAATGAAACACATCATTAGTTGCTGGTCTAATTATCACCACAATATATGCATTAAATTGACTGAATAAATTACAGATTTCAAAACTTTGCTTTCACTTTAAAATGTGTTCCATTTCTGTTACTTCACTTCCTTTCCTTCTTTTAAGTATTTCCTAAGCACTCGGATAGAACCTAAACAATCAACTTTACTGTCCACTCTGAGAAATGTCTCTTTGACTCCAGTTCTGCAAAAATGTAGCTCCCTCCACAGTAGAATCAAAAAAGTTGTTTTGGTTTGACACGGGACAAATAAACAAAAAAAACAACATAATGAAGACAAGGTAACGGATGGACAGTGTGAGGAAGGATAAACAACGTGGGTCATCCAGGTGTGCCGACTGGCTTTACTGTTCCTCTGGACAATAATTCTGTGGTATATCACTAATCAGTTGTCTATTTCATAAAATCACTCTCTTTTCTATTCTATTTGAATCTTTTCTTTTCTAATCTATTCAGCTAAATTCAAAGTGATTAAAAGTTTTGTATGTAGGTGTGTTTGCAAGTGTGTGCTGAAGTGGGCCCACTGGGGTCACAGCTCCAGTGTGGCCTTGTTTCTAAGACGAAAGAAAGCAACGCACTTGTTTGAATAATGTAAAAAAAAAAAATGAAAGGAGAGGGGGGAGTAGGAGCGTGTGAGTCAGCTGTTCGTAAGCTCCCACAGGGGAGGAGGAAAGCACTTCAGCTGCAAACACATGAAGAGGAGAGAGAGGGAGAGAGAGAGAGAGAGAGAGAGAGAGAGCAGAAACAGACGAGAAGAAAAGGAAATAAAACTGGAAAACTATTAGATAAGATGTCCTGAGCTATCCTCTTCCTTGAATTAGAAGTGATGGTCACGTTTTCTTTGTATCTCATGAGAGAACTCGCTCTTTGACCTCTTTCATTTCTTTTGCTTTACATGATTTTAAAACTTTCCAACGTGAAATGTACATTTTAAAATAATTCTAACATTCTCATATGAACATTTTCAGTCCATGTGAAACTTAAAAACCATCACATAAAATAACTTTAAAATTGAAAGTTTACAGACAATTATCCCAATTTGCTTTTTTCCCTTGATAGCATGAAGCAAAAATCATATTAAAGAGCAAAATTAAAAGCACTGTCGTTTACATTTTTTCAGCTAAATCAGGATCCAGTAACTGTCATTCAAACCGTTTAGTTTTTAATGTGATCGTTAACTTGTAGTTAACATCAGAGCAGAAATTAATTCCCCCTAGTCCACCATATGTCTCATCAAAGTCATAGATTGGCTGTAAAAGGAAAAAGACCGTCTTTAAAAGGTAAAGTATGAAACTGTTAATATTTCTACTTAAGTAACAGACACAAAACTTTTCTTTGGCCATAACTGTCCCTCAGCACACGGCCTCTCTTCCTCCATGTGGTGGCAGGGCTAGCGGTTGGAGAAGGAGGGTTTTCAAGGGAAAAAACATGTATGAAACATTTTTAAGCCTCTGAGTGAGACATTAACAAGTTGAAGGAAGTGCTGTCCCATCAGTGTGAACTCAGAGCTCAGAACAATAAACCCAAAGGGAGTTTGACTTCACTCTCTTTTGAAAGAAAGCCATTACCCACCATTGAGATGCATTTTAAACCTTCAAACATCTCCTTACATCCACCCAAGTTCTCCAAATATGACCAATTAAGAGTATGACCATCTGCTCTCTTATAACCTTTCTTACTGCATGAATTCCTCAAAACATCACTGAGCCGGATGAAACAGAGGTACAGCTTCATGGGATCAGTTGAGTACAGAGGGAGGCAGAGCCACTTGTTCCGGAGCTAACAGCGAAGTGTTAATACAGGAGAGACAGCAGACGGAGTTCTTCCTCAGGATTGACTGAAGGTGCCGAGTCAGCTGAGGTATGGAAGGGAGGAGAAGAGGTGTGTTTGAGAAAGAGGGCGAGGTACTTACGCCAGCCGGGTACAGCAGGTCTCCCCCTCCACGTCTCCCCCTGGGGCGTTATCTGTGTTGACAGATTCATTCTCGCTAGCTGGCATGCTCACTGAGAGACAAGAAAGGAGAAGAAAACGAGAAAGAAAGAGAAAAGTGAATTGACAGGATAGGAAAGTTGTTTTACTTCCTACATGACAGCAGTCTTGCTTACTTCAGATTTTCACACACACTTAAAATCAATGCATCCAGTCCTGTGTAGGTAAGCACTGCGGAGCTATATTGAAACTGGTTCAAACACATCAAGTAATCCACCTTGAATTATATATATATATATTTGAACTTTTACGCTAACTTTCCACATTAACAATATTTACTGGTTAGGGATCCTGGGACGAAAACCTCAGCAACAGCTATTAGAAAGGATTTCAACTTCTAATCTACAGGATTGCTCAACTGCTCATGTAGTCTTAACAAATCCCCTGTGTGGTTTTATAGCTCATTTAGATAGCCAGATAATACCATTCTGGAGAATTTCCTGTGAACGTGGAGATGTTGGAGCTTGAATGTTAATTTAAGCTGTGAGATCTTTGGCTGTATTTGTATTAATGCAAATATCTGAAAACCTACTTCACAGATTTTTATCAGATATGTGAACATGTAAAAATCTCACTCTTTGGTTATAAAGCCACAATGAGACTGCAATTGTTTCATTTTGGCTTTATTCAAAGACAAGTGTCTGTGTAACGGTGTCAGGATGAATGTCAGAAAGATGGAGTAAGGACAGAGTGACATGATTTGGCAGTAAAGGATGGAAAAGTGTTATAAAAAATACACCGAAACAATAGGGATGATGTGTTGAGTCTAGGGAGTGATGGAAGCACCGAGGGAGGTGTAAATGGAGGGAGAGGGAGAGGAAAAATGGGATGAATGTGGGACGGTTGGTTGAGAGACAGATATGAAGTGATACATTTCTTTTTATTGCTGCCGTCAGTCTTTGTCTGTCTGCAGGAATGAGCTGTACTAGCCCTGTTGTCACCAGTTGAAGCACCCTCTGAGTAACAGGGCCAGACACTACTACTGACTCCCATTGCCTCTTGTGATAAAGTTGTATGTCCACTGTTAAAATTAGTTCAACCTTCTCATGCAGAACTAATCTAAGCATACCAACTATGAGTTTATATGAGTTCAATCAGGAATGGAGATTGTTAATTTGTATTAATATTGATACCATTATCGAGACTTTCAATCAGAGTCGTTATCAATACTGACCTGCATTTTACCGACCCAACCTTGAGCACGTCGAGCTTATGTTGCTTTGTTTAGTTAGCTAGCTAGTGTTTTTTTTCCTGCCGATGTCAACGATCATTTCAAAGTTGTATTACTATTTTTAACTAATGGGATTTCTACAAAGTTTGGGTGCACTTACCCAGGCTGCTTTAGAGAAGGAAGATGACTGTCAAACAGCAGCAGTTAATGTTGTTTTTTCAACCCAACACAGGCAGAGGTACCGCATTTTGGTTTAATTTGAATCACCACGCTAATGAACTTATTGGCAGGCAATTAAATTGTATTTAAAAATGTTGTAAGACAACCAATGTCTGTTTGTGCGCCGGTGATTTAATTTAAAAGAAGTGACTCCACTCGAGATATAACATTACATTACAAGACCAACAAAACTTGATAGCAGCATCGATCAGCTCAAGCATTGATTGAAACTGGGATTTGATCTCTATCCCTGAGTTCTATACTGATTTGCTGATGAGAAATTTAACAAAACGTGCAAGATTTTAGTATAAGTAAGGCAAATTGTTGTCATCATGAAGCTTTTTCTGAGTTATATGACCTTTAAATAAACATGAGCAAATAATGAAGTGCAAAAAAACAAGAAAACAAGCAATTCACAGTTTCCTTAAGCATGCATTAAGTCAGGGTGGCTGCAGTCATCAAGCCAATCTTCATTCTCAGTCAGAACTGCATACATACAAATTAAATATAAAAAAGTTTTGGTAGGTGAAAACGACTCTAGCCTTGGAATTTCTTTGTGGGACGGCCTAGTTCTCAAGGCAGGTTTGTAAAACCTGTCAGCAATGGATTTAATATAAATAAGTAAATAAGATTTGCAGCATTCAGAGGTTTAAAAAAAGCAGTTTTTTTTTATCATGAGCTGGCTTGTAAGCACTTAGCTAACACAATACATCAAAGTAAGCAGCAGTGAGTGAGCAGTGTACTTTGCCACATGGTTGATGATGGATGAATTGTGTGTTGTAGAGACCAGGCTGGTCTCTCTGAACATTAAAGCCTCGCTCTGTGTTCTCTCACCTCAACACGTGCCACCTGCTGCTCTGCTACTTAGTTAAAAGCACTCAGGGCCCTCCGGTCTCTCCTGAGGCTAAGGCCTTTCAAATATAAAACCAGCCTTGTGCCTTCTCCTCAATGGAGCTCTGAACTAGTTTAATACCTATTGTTAGATTAAACCCCATAGACCTCAGACAGAAGAGAGACAGAAGGAGATGAAGAAGGAAAAGGAACAGGGAGCATGGGAGGGAGAGAAACGAAAGAAGGGAGGGAATGAGAGAGAGAGGGAAGGGTCACATTTTTCAACAGTGAGACTGATTCATTCATTCTTATTAAGATTAGTACCTTAATGGTGTTTAAAAAATGAAGAGAAAGCTCTGAAAATAGACTCTACCAAAATGCACAGAACCAAAAGAAGAGGTAATTCACTACGGAGGTATACAGGTACAGAACTGAGTGTGTGTGTGTGTGTGTGTGTGTGTGTGTGTGTGTGTGTGTTTATGTGAGTGTGTATGTTAGTGTCTGTCATCCTACAAAAAAAGGCAAAAGTTGGATATTGATCACCCCTACCATCGTCTCCAGAAGTCATTTTCAGAAATTTGAAGCTGTCCCAAATCAACCAAAATGTCAAACAAGTGTTCAAATCGTCACCTGAACAATTAAGTTTCTTCATGCAGGCTTTGTTTATTCCACTATTGTTATATTTTGATTTTCAGTCTTTTTTTCTCACAAGGCACTTGATGGCGAGTTGATGAAAAATGACTGCGACCTGTTTGTATCTAAGCTTTCAAAACTAAAGTGAATGGAAAGACGTTTCTTGAGTTTTTAGAAAATATAGCAAGTGCCTAGTGAAATGAATAAAAAGGCTGAAATTCAAAAAAGTATTTCTACTATCTCTTGCTATTAGATTTAGCATGGCTTTCAGCTACAATGCTCGGGAATTTTAGGGAAAGGAATCTGAAACAACAAGTAGAGGACTGTGGCATCACAAATATATATATAGATATATATAAAAAAAATCACTTTTATGTACCATTGTCCCCTTGTTTTCATTTCTCATTCAGGCAGATGCAAACATTTTCCTTTCCTTCTAAACCTTTAAGGGAAAAAGTGGCTGCATCTCAATAAAGAAAAGATCTTTCCTCCCCTTATTTGAGTATTCCTTGTACTGATTGGTGTCAGGCTTTTGATTATACGTAATTAAAAGTGGAGGTTCATGAAACAGCGGTAAAGGTTTAATGCAATGAAGAAATGCAGTATTGCCAACAGCAGGGATCGTTATGGTGGCAAACTTCCAGGTCTCCACTGCAAGAGAGAATGAATATATAAAGCCTTGAGATTCATTATTATTCAATGAAAGTTGTTCGAAGGGGTTAGGCAGACACTGAGCATAAACTATTTTACAGTGTTGAGAGGCAGCCACTTACCCCCGTTTTGCTTTGAAGCTTTGGAGGGGGGAGAAAAAGATGCTAACTTCAATGCAGGGGGTGAGGAAAGGAGAAGAGAGGAAAGGAGGAGAGTCGAGAAGGAGAAAGGAGAAGAGAGTTGGCAGTCCACTTGCATGTCTAGGATAATATTTCCAGTAAATCTTTAACTAGAGTTGGACCATGCAGACAGACGCACACGCCTTACGAAGGAAAGCCGCATTTTTCTTCACGGCTCCACGCAGAGACTGAAAACGATGGTTCTTACCTGGGGACAGAGAGCACGGCTCAGCAAGACAAACACACACAAATACAAACACACACATGGATACACACAAAAGGCACTCCCAGTCAGCAGGTCATGTGGAAATGCACTCAATCTGTCATTTCAAACACAAATGAACACATGTACTCGTACTGGCTTTGAGTCCAATCAGTTTGTACATTTTTATCTTTATAATCACATCTTCCCCCACCTTAAGCTGAAACTAAAGATTGAGATGCATTAGGAGCAGAACTGGCAAAAAAAAAGACTGCCTCCCCCTTTTTGTGGAATATTGTAGAACAAAAAAAGAGACAGAAAGAGAGAAAAAGAAGGGATGAGAGGAGGACTTCATTGGAAGGTTTCATATTCAAGAGTTAAAGAAATTAACATCCAGAGGCAGGTTTCAGTGTTTTTACAGGGAATACCCATCACAATACATCTTTCAGTTTTATTCTCTGTCCACTTGCCAGCAACAATATCGATTGTTTTTGTTCGCTTCACCCATTCCTCTCTCACTATTTTTTATAATTGTGTACCTCTACATCCATCATCACGCTACTCCACCAGGGTTTGAAATTAGCATCTGCCACCTATGTTTTTGTGTTGGGTGACTTTGCTCAGCCTAGCGGCAACTGAGGGTGAACAAAAGTAACGTAACAGAGAGATTTCTGACAGTAACAAAGTCAGTCCTGGTCTGCTGCTTGTATGGCTCTAAGCAGAGCCAGGCGGTCCTGCACCCGGTCCTTAATGACCAGAGGGCCTCTCCTCCTCATTTCAGAGTGAGCGTCAGTGTTTACAATTATAGACTGTGTGCTGAAATGGCTCGATATGAACCTTCCTCAGAGCGGTTACACAAACTAAAGGAGAGATGGCTGTAGCTCTGACTCGTTTGGAAGTTGTTGTTTTCTCCCAATGAGCTAACTTATGCTATGTTGTCACACGTGAACCGAAAATGCACTGCAAATGAAACGTGCTGTAAAAAAGCCGAAACAACTGCATTAACATCAAATGTGCTGCAAGTACATAAACGAAACAAGTCAAAGACACACATTTTCAGAAAACAACAGTAAGTAGAGAAATGCTGCAAATTCAGCCTCAGTGCTCCAGGCCTGTAGGGGCGCTCTGTGGGTCGGTTTATTTACGGGAAAGAGTAACGGAGACCAGTGGAAATAAAAACCCTGAAATTCAGGATATCAGAATCAACGAGGAAGCGTTTGACCTGAAAGCATTTAGACCTTATAACTGATTAAATATTTGTAGAAAGCCATCTTTCTATGAATTTTTTATGCAAACTCTGCCTGTTTACAAGCAAGTATACATAGAAACTCATGTCAAAACCCCACATGACACAGAGACAAACAAAAACCTCCTGAGAGTCAGCAGAATGACTGAACCAGGCAAGGTACTGGTTGTTTTACCCAGACGGGCTAGAGACACGCCTACCACACACAGCTGTCGCTTCACTGTCTGATCACATTTAACTGTGTGTGTGTGTGTGTGTGTGTGTGTGTGTTTTTTCAAGGTTCTTGACACATGTAATCACTCAAGCTGATGCTAAAAAACTGTGAAAAATCAATACATTAAATGGCATCTTCTGTTCTCTGTCACTGAAAACAAACACACTCACACTCACAATAAATATCTATCTTCATATGAATACACTGTTCACATTGTTAATCAATATTATGCCCGTGTAGCACTTCATGTAAAGATGGGATGATAGATAGACACATAGGAAGGTGTGTATGTGGTCTCTGTGTGAGTGAGCAGTCAATAGTGTGACTTTCTCCCGATGTTAGAGCCCATCTGCTCCCTGTCCCAGATACCCATTCAGTCTCTGCTTTATACACTTACACTATACGCACACGCGCACGAGCACACACACACACACACACACACACACACACACACACACACACACACACACACACACACACACACACACACACACACACACACCCTGACCACCCCTCTTCCGGATCGAAGCATCTCTTATCTTCTCCCCTTCCTCTAAGTCTCATATCCCTTCTTAGGACAGTTTGTGTGTGTGTGCGCGTGCATGTGTGAAGTAGTCTATGCAAAGAGTTCTGGGCAGTCGGGACAAAGTGCCCTCATTCATCTTCCCAAAGGAGGATTCATCTTTCGAGGAGAGAGGGAGGCAGAGCAATAAGAGAGCCAGTGACTTGATTTTCCATTTTAACAAACAGGGGTGATTGATTGCTCTATTTGAGAACTTTAAACCATATGTATAAATCACTTTGCTGGATCATTGAAATCTAATGGCCTTAGTTATCACATAGTAAAAGCAATGGACTAAATCTTGCACATAACAGATAGCAGCAGTTTCAATATTGGATTTGTTTTTCCTATGGTTAATTATTCTTCATTTTAAGTTTTAAAACATAAAGTTATAAGTAAAGCCAACTTTTCAGGATCAACACATTTTGTACATACTGTATTTATTTGTTTATGTGCCAATAACTCGGGCACATTGATAACCCCTAGGAGCACATTGATAACATGTATAAACAAGTGGAGGTTAAAGATTAGCCACAGGGGTAATGGGCCTTATTTATTTTCATGTAAATCTGGGTATTGCCCATTTGCCCGTGTGAAAATCCTGAGATTTGCTGAAAGATTAGATAATCATTTTTTCCCCTATCAACCTTCTTCCCTCTGCAGTCATTAGTGTTTCTCAGAAGGAGCCAAAGTGCTTTGTAGAAGATGAGCGAGTTGTATGCAGAATGCATGCTTTGGCATATTTAGTCTGCATCATTCATTCATTCATCGTCAATTTGAGCAAGCTGAGATCCAAGCCTTTACAAAATAGTTCACAGGACACATGGCGCATACTGAACGGTTCAAAAATAATACAGAGACGACTTTATCATCAACTCCCGGCCTCTCTTTAGCAATATCCCTCTCTCAAGTTCTTTTTCAAATCTCCTCTGAGATCAGAGCTCCACGGTAAAAGAGGCCAGTGGTCTGAGCTCCCTCCCCAGGACATGCTGCTCAGTCCTCGAGGAGGCTTGTTTCCTGTGTGGCAGCCTCTCTCTGGAGGTGTTTTGGCGGGAGACACGGTGTTAATTTGTGTGAGTACATTTCTATCAGAGTACGAGTACACACATTCCTAAGGGTGTATACCACCAGTTTGTCTGTGTTTGTCGTACCATTGTGTACCCAGAGGCTGTTAGCTGCAGTCTGACACATTCAGCTAATATCCAAACAGGTTTTAAACCTCAAGAGAGTTCCTTAGGCAAAGCAGGCAGCCAATCTCAACATCCTCTCGCTCTGTCAGTCACTCATTCAGTCTCTGACTATTATGAACTTCCAAACGATAGAGATGCTTCTTACAGACCAAACATATGCACACCCACACACAAAGAGTTTCCCTCACAACTTCTTGGTACAGTGAGCACAAAATATCTTAGGATAGAGACAAAACTGAGCTGTCCAGAGAGCTCATCTGATAAAGCATGCACCCAATGTTCTGAGGCCTAACTGCACTAGCCTGGGTTTGATTTGAACCCATGACAATTGCTGCATGATGTCCCCTCTCTGTCTTCCCATATTTTAAATTTACCTTTTGAATAACTGCAAAAATTCCCTCAAATAGTCTAAAAAAAACAAACAAAGACAAAAAAACACAACTATTCAAACCAGCCTTTTTTCACACACTTTCTTACTATTCCCCAAAAGAGGCAAACTTTTAAAAGCATTAAGGCGTTGTCGTCCTCATGGCAAACTGCAGGAATCCCAAAACTCTATGTTCAAACGGACACAGACTCTTGTACTCACGGTTTCTGGGTTTGTCATCATCCATGCCCTCCTCTTCATTCTCCGGGTCAATGTCTTCAGCCTGAGTAATCCAGTCTAAATAGCCCTGTATTCACGCACACACAGACAGGTTGATCAACACAAAAGCTACGAAAACACAGCCTAGTTAGAAACACTGAAAGACACCGCATGATTTTAAGATGATGCGGGGACATACACTATTAACATCTTTATTAATGTACACTTTGATTAGAAAAAACAAAATCATCTTTTCTTTGCCAGTGTTTACAGGAAGGCCTACAGTTACTTTAAAGAGCTTTTCTTTCTTACCTCATATGTGATGCTGCCTCTATTGTGGCATTGCTTTAGTTAGTAACTTAACAATGAAACACTAAATTTTAGAAGAGCCAGATGGGGAGTTTAAAGTTTGAAGGATGACGGTAATGTGCAGTGAATTTAAGTGACAAGTAAGGACTGTTACATGCTCTCTCAGATGAGAACAGCCTACCTTGAGGTCCTCCTCCAGTTGCTGTTTTTCTCTGAGTTTCTGGAAGTCACCTCGGGCCTTTGCTTTCTCCCTCTCCTTGGAAAACTCTCTGAGAAGGTGGGAACAGGATGGAGGGTTTGGGGCGTAGAGAGATAGGGGTATATAGGGGAAAAGGGGGGGAAAAAAAGGGAAAAACAATCTGAAACACTAGACTGAAATGTTGCAGAAACAAATCATGTGACAATGCTGCAATAATACATCAGATAATACAGTTCTTCAGGACAGGAAGGAGGAAAAACCTGCTGAAGAGAAAAAAAAATCATGGAAAGAGAAAAGCTCTGCCAAGGAAAAAGGTGTTAGTATGCAAATTCAAATGACACAATGTCCAAACAGAAACATTGGAGCTGGATTCACATCACAAACAATCCAATTCATTAACAAGCAGCCAACAGATAGATACAGTTCAACTCAGTCCTGTCTATGTGTTTTTGGTAAACAAGGTATCCAATATCAAACCTAATGCACTCTGTAGTTGGAATGTGAAGTGTAACAGCCCTACTGACTGACCAAAAGTAGATAAGCAAAGACATTTCATTAATTGATTAGTCAGCACACAAGTGTTCAACAGATGACATTTAATTTAATTATATTTAACTGTACTGTTGCTGTCCCAGGGAAAAAGGACCCCAGCTGCTCGCTTGTCTGCTTGTGGTTTACTTCCCACAGTGTGTTCTGGGTCCACCTAAGGGTCTGTTCCTTGTTGTGATGTGCCTGGTACAACCCCAGAGGGAGGGACACAGAGGGCACCACCTCAGCTTATTCCTGTCAAATTGGACGGGAAGCGGCTCTGCTCCAAGGGCAACACTGCATCGCTGAGCTCCTCACCATTGGTAGACACTCTTATTGTTAAGTTTGCAGATGCATGGGCTAGAATTTGGAATAAAAACATACAAAGCTGTCTTTTTTTTCATTCGCTTTCTTTTGGTACATCATTTAGAATCTAAGAGAATATGTTTACTGGTAATCTTGAATCCCCATTTTTTTGAGTATTTCCTTTGACTTCCCTAATTCTTCAAAAAGTTTGGATTTTTAGGGTAAATTGGACAAAGAGGACAAAAAAACTAAAATGATTTAAAAGAGCTAAATCAGTCTTAAATGAGTTTGAAATATTAAAATATTATGATGAAATTTTGTGAAATAACTTGGAGGTGTCAGGATGAAAGAAAGAATTAAGGAACGTTAGATTAAAAGCTGCTCTTGGGAAAGGTCAAAGTCAGGTTGGAGTCACAGTTGGGAATAATTAATTTGTTTAAGAACTGAAAGGAGCAGAGGGCCCTGGGAACCTCTGCAGTTAAAAGGTGCAAAAAAAAAAAATCCACATTTGAAGGTCCACTGATAGGAAAACTTTGCTAGTTTCTCAGTGTTATGATTTCAATGAATGAGAATATAAGTATAGTTTGTAAAGTTTCCTATATGTACCTTGACATTAACAAGTAAATCTAAAAAGTGGTATAAATAACAAAATCACAGAACAAAGTTGATCCGAATGTTCTCCATCCAATAAAATGCATTTAAATCTTCAACGTGTGTATTATGTTCTGTTTCACTGTTTCCTTGGGGGAAAGGAACCATAATAAAAAAAATAATAAAATTGTGATTTATAGATCACTTTCTTCTGAGTCTAGACACAGGAAAAGAATACATGTCTGTATGTGTGTCTGTGTTTGTGAGAGGGTTATGTGTTTAAGGAATAATCAAACCTTCAGTTAGAACATACACACACACACACATGCACACACACACACACAGATCAATAAGCATTAGGACAAACTGCCCTTGAATCACTTGTCTGATCATTAGAAGGAGACCCAATACTATTGATCTGTTTCTGTCGGCGCTTGTGCCAATGTGTGTGTATTCAAAATATGTGTGCATGATTGCAAACTCGGAGGCGTTTCATTTTAAGATAAGACAGTCTTAGTAAGAAATACATTTTCCAATCCTCATCATGTCTTTTCTCTGTCCGAAATCATTCCTGAATTCTCAAATTTCCTTTTTGTTTTTCCTTCACACCATTAACATGTTACATCAAATCCAGACAGTCACAACCTGATGTTTCTGCCACTACGTCCATCGTATTTGGTCTTCTTCTCCTCAGCCATTACTTATAATGCCCCCCCACACACACACACACACCATGGAGGAGCATTTGGTAAAAGGTCAGGCTGTGTAGTGTGTTGACAGCATCATTAGTCAGAAATCAGACAAAGAATCAGACAGCCAAACCTCCCCCAAAGCTGTTTGGACCAGATAGACTTCTATTATTTTCCCACAGTGCTGCTGCTGCTGTCAAATCACTGTGGCTATTAGGAGTAAGTTTCTGGTCAGTCAGTCAAGGGTGAAACACTTCACACCTCTTAACTCATTCCACCTACAGCATGTGAAAAACCTTGAATTCTGATGCCAAAAAGAGTATGAGTATGAAAAAGTGTGAGACCACCCATAAGCTGCAATGTGTCTGTCAATATCCTAACGGTTGTCTACAAACTGAGCATTCAGCCTGAATGTATGAAGCATGATTTATTGCTTTACTTTTTCAGTAAATAAGAAAGTGAGTTCCTTTTTAACAATCCCACCAGTGATGAGGGCTGTGCATTTTATGACAAAAATAGTGCTTTTCTAGAGAAGCAAAACTGTAGAGTTGTAGAGAAGGAGACATTTTGATATTGCTACACAGAGAGGCAATCTCCAAAAGGACTGAAAGCAGAGAATACCCATCTGTTCTGTACAAGTGTCCTTGAGCAAGTTGCTGAAGTACAAAGTTTTGTTTAATCTACAATGTTACATGTTATACTTAACTCTAATCATAAATACATTTGATGTGACTGACTGTGAGCTGCACTTTCTCCTTATTTCACATGTGTGGATATTTACTGTGTCACTGCAACACATTCCTGTACATGCGTGTTACAGAACATGCTGCCTTAACCACCATCTGTTGTGCCAAGCATAAAGTACACAGGAGTAAAGACTTCCCCTTTAGCACAATCAAACAGCAAAGCTCTCAGAACGACAGTATAAAAGAATGGAGGAGAAGAAGTTGAGTTAGTGTGAAGGGACCTTTAACCTCACCCTTACCCGCTCAAAACCCCCAGAACCAAGTTAAGCACAAAGAAGGATCCGATGATGATCAAGGTGACAAAATACACCCAGGGCCACCTGCACCCTACTGCATCATTCACCTAGGTGGAGACATGAGGATGTAGGATGGAAGAAAGAAAAACGGGAGATGGATGGAGGATAAAGGTGGAGGGTGATAAAGGAAGACCAGTGGCCATCACAATGATTGAGAGTGCAGGGATTAAAGAGAGGAAGGAATAAAAGAAGGGAAGAGGGAAGGAGGTAGATCCTTAGTGAAAGCTCCCAAAAGATGGAGTTGTTTGGTTATGGTGCATTCATAGTATCTGTCAGAGCCACTAAAAGAGGATCTTTAGACTAAGCAGACACAATTTAAAAAAAAGACTGTGCTAAACCAAGACACCGATAAACGGCTATGAATGACCCAGATGTTAAACAAGAAATCTTGGAGCAACCTTTTTAGTGCCAAGGCGCTCAGTGCAGTTTTTCAAGAGAACAGGGAAGGTTTCAATTTTAAAACAGCGAGAAAAAACATCTTGTGCGTTATCACTATGGAGAGAAGGAACTACATTTAGACATTTAACAGACTTTGCAGCAAGACCCCCATAGATTGGACATAAGAAACTGTGCTCATGACAAATAAGACACCTGAATCTCTTTAGTTTTCAGTCTAAAATGAATCAAATAATAAGAGGTTGTATTACTACTTATTACTGTACATTAATAAAACTGTCATTAAGGTAACTATGACTTTACTTGTGTTTAGCTGATGTAATCATTCGTTTGATGTTTTATACACTTTTTCTAATTGAATCTAGTCACTTGTGTTTTTATGAAAGCTTTATGTGCAGCTGTCCAATACATCGCTGCCATCTTAAATGCCACGTTTCTTTCGTGCTCCACTCTGTCCTCAAAAGAACCTTTTTTTTTTTTTTGCTGTTGTGTTGTCCCTGCTGTGCAAGTTTTTTTTTTAAGTGTTCAATCTCGATGGCTGACCTGAGGGGTGAATTATTAATACCCCTGTGTGTCCCTACAGACTGGGTGGAGCTAGAACTAAAACAGCGTGACTTGGCAGAGTGGGATTAAACACCACCCAATTTAACACTCACACAGATATACAACACAAGCACATACACACAAACTCTGTCAGGCCGATGATAAAATGCCCATGTATTTAAGCTGCTCATGTTAAGTGTGTCATTTAAACAGGAGTGGCATAAGGAGGACAGTGGAGCTCGTCTAGGAGGCTTGTGAGTGTGTTTTTGTGCATGTGTGTGCGTTTACATCTGTTTGTGTGTGTCCACCTGTCGATCAGATACGTTGAGACGGGATAAGGCCCTTTGAGGTCGTCTGACATGAACATCAGAGTAAGACACTGCATCACTGCCTCTTCCTGTGCGTATTTGGGATTGTGTTTGTGTGTGGTCTATCAGCTTGTGACAGAGGATTGATTGAGTGGAACAGAAAGCAGAGAGAGCAGGAGATTTTGCTCAGTTCAGTGATTGTCAACTCATCGTTCCTCGACTGCAGGGACAAGATGCCTGGCTGTACTTTTACTGTTTAAACACTGGCTTTAGACTGTTATCACCCTCTTCTTATTTGTGTTTAATTTCCTCCTCGCATCATTTAAATCTGCCAACATAATCTGACCACAGATTCTAGCTCAGATCTTTGGTCAGTTACGTTGTAGTCGCATCTCATCTGATTATCTTTAATGCCTTTTTCTCTTCGTGCAGAATTCCATCTGCTATGTCCGTTTATTTGACATTAGCTGACCTTCACCTGTAGCTAAGTTTTCTTCTTTATAATTGTACTAATGCCTTAATGTGAGTACACATGTCTGAAATTACATCAGCGACTTTCTATTCAATTCCAATCTACAGAGGCTCACTGGATACTTACAAGTGAACCAGAGGTTGCCCCAGGAGTCTTGCTGCATGGCCATTTATCAAATCTGTTACAGTACACACTATACAGTCCCATCACAAACAACATGCAGTCGTTTGTACAGTCCCATCGCATACAACATGCAGTCGTACACACATGACAACAGCTCGACCTCTTACCCGCTCAACACCCCCAGAACGAGATTGAGAACGAAAAAGGAGCCGAAGATGACGAGAGACACAAAATAGACCCAGGGCAGCTCATAGCCCATAGCATCCTGCATCTGAGAGAGACAAGAGACAGAGGAGAGGAGGAGGAGGAGAGAGGAGGGGGATTAACAGAGGTGAAGGACAAAAAAAAGTGTGTTAGAAAGTGAAGGAAAAGGAAGACACCAGGCAGGAAACAAGAACAGAGCAGTGCATGTTAAAAAGAGTAGTAGACAGACCTAGCTAAGCAAGAGAGGCAGTATTGTGTGTCTGTGTGCGTGTTAAGTCTTTCGTCTGCACGGTGGAAAGCAGGTGCTAGAGGTTCCACATTTAAAAGCAAACTAAACAACACTTAACCGCTTTTTTTTAAACAGTTCTGTGTCAGAGTATTGGCCTGCTTGTTAATTAAATTGCTGAGTTGTTGCAAAACAACATTAGGACACAATTTAAGTTGACAAATGAGAACTCCTAATTTGGTCGATGAATGAGTTGTCTCTTTAAACTGGAGACTTCTGGACAGAGGGGGCCAAACAGGATATAACAAAGGAGATAAGGAGGATGAAGGGTTCGGTTCATCTACAACAACAGTAGATGTTCACCATTATTAATTTATAATAATGAAAATACGAGGCTTGGTGTTTTTAAATTATGATTTGTAGAAGTCCGAACAGGTAGCTCCCATTATTATAAAGCGAGTAGGCTGAACAAGCCCTCTATTACAAGCAAACCGCTGACTATTTCTCCCTGTGTGTTTGTGTGCAGAAGGTGAAGGAGAAAGGACTGCAGGAGGGGTGTAGAGCTTGTAAGTTCTCTGCTCCATGTGTATACAGTACATGCAGACAGACACAAACAACACACGCTCACACAAAGTCATAAACACACACACACACGTGCTTGTGTAATATGTGTTGTTCAGTTCTTAGTGTATTTTAACCTCTCTCACTTTTGTATGTAAAGTAATAAATACTGATACTACATAGAGGCATATACTAAGTCTTCCCTAATAAGTCTTCACTGGTTGGTAGATTATTAGTTAATAAAGAAATTCAGCAGAAAAATTGATGTTTGGAAAAATGGGTTCTCATCTGTATTGCATTTATTTTTTTCAGTTTGCAATGTGCCGGCACACAGAGCACCTCTCAGTAATAATCATGTTGGGATGCAGCCCTGCTAAGTGACATCTGACTCTTTACCATAATGAAAACGTTACTCAGGGCAGCAAAATACAGAGAATAAAGACTGGTAATGTTTCAGGATTTAAAAGGATTTACCACAGATTATACAGACATCGCCCATATCATAATCTCCCGCAGACTGTTTGATCAAATTCTTGCTCAAGAAGGTATATATGCGAGTTTTATTGAACCTTTCTGAACATTGATTAACATCCAGTCTACTGATCTATTTAGCTGGATGGAGCTGCTGCATGCTTTTGGCTATTAACTTGGGAAGAGGTAGTTTCTTAGTGTTCACATTTCTCCGTGGCTGTATGTGTGTATTAGTGTGTGTTCATGTGCTCACTTGACACTTGAATCAAGCATCAGGATTCCACACACGTTCAAAATGAATCGGCGCCTTCAAATACACAGTGTATTGTCTCCATCGATTTGGCCTCAGATATGAGCTTACACACATACACACACACACTCTCTCCCTTTGTAACAATATCAGTGTGCACACCTAGCTTTCCCAGAGAAGCGTTTATGTCATTGCCTTACAATCTTTTCTCAGAAACCACTCATGTGGCACTGATTTTACAGACATAATACAGTCACATACACTCAATCACACAGACGCACAAAGACACTGTTAAGGTGTCCGGCTCACCCAGTACAGCACGTCCGTCCAGCCCTCCATGGTTATACACTGGAACACTGTCAACATTGCGAAGGCAAAGTTATCAAAGTTGGTGATGCCGTCGTTTGGGCCCTCCCAACCCATTTTGCATTCTGTTCCATTGCGATTACAGTGTCGTCCGTAAGCTCCATCAGGTGCACATGGTGCCGGCTTCTCCTCTGCTATGTTGCCTGTAACAACAAAGAAAACAGTGAGAAGGAGGGATAAATTGTTTCATCACATCCTTTTGACCCAAACCTTCCAACTGCAAGCTTAATCAGTACTGTTATGGCAAGGAGGCCAGTAAGAGGTGTAAATCGCAAATGGGAACAATATACTGCACAACAGCTGCTGGACTCATCTTAAAAATGATACAGACTGGATAGTGAAATGATACAAACGTGTATAAAGTAACTTATCTAGCTTGTATAAGGTGTTGGCTTTGGCTTTCTCCGCCGCTTAAAGCTGACACTAAATTTTGGGATGCGTATTACTGATGAATTCCTCCTGAGTCTCAGCTGACTTCTACTCGCATAATTTGTCTATGTGTGCTTATATTTAGCGTTTCCAATCTTAGTATGTCTTACAACTGCAAGTCACATGAAAGTAAAATTCCTCTAAAAATAGTTAACCTAAAAGAAAATCATCTTCATTTCACAGCGAATTAAAAAGCAAACATTGAACTAAAACCAAACACTAGCCATAAAAAAATCAATATGAGAAATTACTGTACTAATTATACAAAACAAGTTCTAGAGAGTGATGTATAGGATTACATAGAGTATTCCAACAGCACTTATCCACTACAAGCTAATGCCTCTCTTGGGAACTATAACATCACCATAACAACACTCAAGTCCATTTATACCTAGGGGCCTTCACGGAAAATGTTCCAGGCACTTATGGTGGCTGCAGTTTCAATTATTGCCCAAATAATTCATACTCAATCATATAAACGAGGATTTCAATAATTCATTATTTAAACTGTTTAAGGTACTGTTTGTGCTCTATTATCTCCAGGCGTTATCGGCTGATGTGTGATGTTTTCTTACTGCAAAGATCAGAGATGTATGCAAATGCCACTCAATAGAAACAGCTAGCCGTGCGACAGTCAAGAGTTTACTTTCTTTGATTCTCAGTCTGAAAGGTTTTAGTGAAGGAAAAGTATTTTCTGTGTTTACATCAGTGTGTGTCTCTGTGTGAATAAATGCTTTCTGAAGCGTGCTTTCACACACAGATGAATGCATGCTTCCATATTGATCAGAGCGTTGAAGTAAGAAACTGAGTGTATGTGTTTGATCATGCATGCTTTTATTTGCATCTGTGCATCCGTGTGCAGTCGACTACATAGTCTCTCTCTTTCCTCGTCATTCTCTCTGTACGTTCATGTGGGACCTGATGCACGTGTGGGCGTGGGTGGATACCTATATGCTCGTGAACGCATGTCTTGTGCATCTTGCCCATGAAGAGCTCCAGGCCGATGATGGCGTAAATGATGATGACGAAAAGGACCAGCAGGGCGATATGGAGCAGAGGAACCATGGCTTTGATAATGGAATTCAACACCACCTGTAAACCTGCAGCACACACAAAGAGGAATTTCTGAGAACAGGTGAATGTGTTGACACTAAGAAATTGAAACAGTCAGTTATGCTAATGTAATTAATAAAGCCTTTCTTATATACCGGTACTTACGCTCAAGTAATGATTACAAATGAATTGAGATCAATTTGAGGGAAGACGGTTGCTGTGCAATTATTCATATAATTTACAAATGCAAAAACACAGTAGGTGGCATCAGTGACTGAGGACTACCTGCATTGATTCTGGTGTGTGTGGATTTAATCACATAAGATCAAATGTAATACAGAGGACAATGTTGGAAAGGGTTCAGTTTAAATACTGTAAACTGAGACATTCAAGCTTTAAACTAGTGTGTGAGGTGAGGGTTAGCATCCTTATCATTTGCCTGCTATGCTTTATACAAGATCTGTATTTCAAATAAACACACACACAAACACAAACACACAGGTGCTAACACTTGCACAAGCCTTCATTCACAATATCTGATCCCCTTCTGTCTCCTGGCCTGTTGGATTATTGACTTCTGTAGTCACTAACGTGGACAGGCTGACAGACAACTCATCTACTGCTCGCACTGTCTGAGTGTCTGATAAAAGGACAAGGGGACTCGTTGTGTCAGCGTGTGGATTTAAAACTGTGTGTGGCACCAATATCAGCTCCAATCTCTGGTTCATTTCTCCCCCGCCTCACCCAATCACCGTTCACACCTGATCCACAGGGCATCGTTTCCACTCCCTTTCTGCTCTTTTCTCTCGTTCATTCTCTCCTTCTCTCTTTGTTCCGCAGCTCTCACTACTTACTGGGTACTCCAGAGACCAGTCTGAGGGGTCTGAGTACTCTGAACGCCCTCAGAGCCTTGACATCGAAGCCCGCCGCTTTCCCTCCGATAGGAGTGGCACCGTCCCCCTTGGTGGCCTGTTCCAAGATCGCACTGAATAAGCTGCAAAACAGAGAGAGATGACTTTAGCAACCTTCATCATATGTACACACACAACGTCTGTTCAAAGAATTTACTTAAACGTCTATGTTTAGTCTAGATTTAGGCTGTAACATAATCGTGTCTGAAAACATCATTTGTTTCAGATAAGCATTTCATGGAAATATAGTATTCAATTAAAGAGTTAAATATGTTTCTATACTGGTGCTTTTAAGTGGCTTTTATCCCCTGTTAGATTATTTAGATGTGAGTGGCCTACAAGCTTGAATCTATGTACGTCCAGCTGAGCTTACCACTGTCACTCTTCTTTCTCTGTGTCTCTGAGATCCTTTAGAAATCACCATACAATACCATTTTCCAGCTAGTGAGGCTCAAAGGCCAGTCATCGGCGCGTTAGTCATGGGGAATTATCAATTAGCACAGATGAAATGGCCACTTGAAAAAGACCTCTCAAAACATATCGCCCTCTCACTGCCTCTCACTCTCTCTCTCTCTCTCTCTCTCTCGGCCTCTCCATTTCGCACTGCCTCCCTCTCAATTTGATTCACTCTCTCTCTCTTGGTAGGAAGCACGCCTTTGAAACACAGAATAAAAAGCATGTCGAGGAGCCACAGTTTTGCACCATCAGCACACGTGTGTTTTGCAGTGGTGGGGTGTTACATGATAATTAAAGTCTTTAAATGTAGCACCAGGCTTGAAGATAGAGGCTTTTACTGAATTAAAGGTTTTAGAGAAGTCAAAGCACATAAATTATAAATATTTGAATGACTATGTTATTAACGGGCCTTCCACTGTTTAGATTCATTCATTATTAAGCTCTTGATTTTCAAGCTATTTATTATGTGTTTATGCTATTTAATGTCATTTCACTGTGAAAATGTCCCTCACAAGTTCCCATAGCCCAATTTGTCCTGCTCTTGTTGCCAAAGTCCAAAGTCTAGATGTACAGTAATTATGCTTTTGTTAATTAATTAATCAATAAATCACCATAATGTTTTATTGCCAAAAGGTTTAACTCTATTAAATTCCAATTTTTTAGATGGTTCTACACTGTACACTGGGATTCAACGTTAAAAAGAGAGTCCTTAAAGTACCAGATTTCCCACACACAAATAAACACACACGCATTGGCTCACCCAACCTTCACTAAAAATAATCATATTGATAATAGTAAAAACATATGTCCTTTAAAGGCACCTTTCAAAACAGTCAAGGTCACCTTACAAAGCAGAGATAAAAAATGAAGATCAAAGTAACAATAAATTGATTAAAATTAACAAACTGAACTCTAAGAGACAAAAGAGCTTAGATTTCAACATATGAGTGTATGTGTGAGTGTACACTTGCATGCATGTGTGCTTGTGTAGGCTATGTGTGTGTGACTTTGAGTGCATACAGTATGTGAGCCCCCAAGGCTGCTCACAACCAGGTAGAAGCTCTTTCACCCATATGGGGACCATTCTAGAGGGAGCGAACTCTTTTTTTGCACACACACAGACAGACACACACACACACACACACACACACACACACACACACACACACACACACACACACACACACACACACACACACACACACAAACTCAGGCGCAAAGACAACCAGTCATGCACACACATAGAAACTTTGTCTGCAACGTGTGAAATCAAAGGAGGTTGTGCGTGTATTTGTATTTAATTACAAAACAGATCTGCTGAACCCGGACAAATTGGCCTTTTAAACCTTGGGGAAGCCTAGAGAGGCCATCTAGGTTTAATCACCCAAAACAGCAAGCCCCAGCCCTCCTGAAGTGTCCTTGAGCAAGACAGTGAACTCTGCATTTTCCGGAGCTGTTGCTTGTATTTGTCCCTTTGACCTCTCCGTGGTAGAGCTTCAAGGTAAAAAACAATTTCCTTGACAGCATGAATACAGCTTTATGCACAATTAAACTATACTGCAGCACAACAGAAGCTTCAACATAAACGGAGACAAAAAGAGACAGAGAGAGAAAGAGAGAGAGAGAGAGAGAGAGAGAGAGAGAGAGAGAGAGAGAGAGAGAGAGAGGCAGACAGAGAGGGTAGATAACAGCATAAGAGTGGTAAAGGTTGTGTTTATGCCAGAGGCATTGGCACACTGATGCCAGCCATGTGTGTGTGTGTGTGTGTGTGTGTGTGTGTGTGTGTGTGTGTCTTTGGGGTGAAGCCAACCACTTTCAGTTTGTGATGGCTAAAGTGACTGAACACTTCACTGCCGATGAGAGTGTGTTTGTGTGCTCTCAGATCCTTCCTTCAGGCTGAAGGATGCCTTCTTGCTGTCTCTTTCTCCAGCATGTGCACACAACAGGCACAGACTCAGACATACACACACAAACACACACAGACACACACACCACACACACTATACTCAAACAGAACATGTTTATGGCATTAACAACTGTCAGGTCCAGTAGCTATTGTGTCATTACCCTCACACAATATTGTACACAAAGCACAGCTGGCAGGCAGAGTGCACTCACACACACGCTTACTTCAAGCACATACGAACACACTTGCACATAGGCCACAGGCACAGAGGGTTTAGCAGATGGGCTCTGTTGCTGAGTTGCAGATAAAGAAAAACAGAGCAGAGCTTTGCTATCAGCATCTAACAAGCTAATCAGTTTAGCCTTCACCAATACACTACAGGCCAGTCTACTGCGGCTTAACTGATTCACTGTGAAGGAGGATTGTTTTATTGCAAAACTAATATGAGAAGTTGACTTGTATTGTACATTTTTTAAATGCCACGCAGACTGAGAGATTAGTATAATACCTGAGGACAGAGGAGACCATATATTTCCTTTATAGGCCTCTTGATTTAAATGTAATTTGTATGCCAAGAGAACAGAAAAAAAGGGAAACAATGTTCATCATCAAAGCGCAAGTAAATTTACAATTACAGTGTAAGTCAAGGTCAAGACGAAGATAGAATGGTCCTTGTTGTTGCAGCTGGAATCAAGTATGTCCATTGGAAATGTGAAAGAGTCTAGCACTTTGAGTATCCATAGCATTAAACTGAGGCTGTCAGTTGTTTTGACTTTAGTTTAATTTGTTGGCAGTAATTATGTGAAGGTACTATGATGAATTTGCTAATGATGTGCAGATGCTTATAAAAATGTTGGCCAATGCTTTAAAAGCCTTGGAAAGAGAAAGTAGAGTACGATTACACATGGATTGCCTTTCTTTGTCATTTCGACTGCTTTAGAGCCGTTTAGAGTGTTTCTGTCTACTCACCCGACGACAACGATGATGAAGTCGAGCAGATTCCAGCCGTTTCTCAGGTAGGCATTGGGGTGGAAGAGCAGGCCGTAGGCTATTACCTTCAGGAAAGCCTCCACTGTGAAGATGATGAGGAACAGATACTCCACACGCTCCTGTCGAGATACACAAAAAAGGAAGGTTCATCATTTATTTGCTTGAGCAGCGTCGCAGATATTCAACATAAGCAAATACCTTTTCAAGGATACAGCATATAGGCATACACAATGTATGTTCTTTCCATATTTTGATAGGTAGGTACATTTTAGCAGTAAGATGGGTTCACAGATGTTCGGATTCATTCACAGTCATGACTTTCTTTATTTACTCCCCTTTTCACAATAAAGACCTTTTATTTGACTTATGAGTACCAACAGTACAGGCTCCTTACTCCCATTCTGCTCCGATTTGATCAACCAGAACAGGCTGTTCCGTTGATGTTTGTGTGTGTGTGTTAGATTATTTATGTGTGAACATGTATTTGTCTAACTTGTAATCGTGTACACAATCAAAGTATTTTGATTATTTTATAAAAGCGACTCTCTTCCTGTCCGAAGAGGCAACTGTTTAAAGAAAGGAATGCTTGCATGTGTGCATGTAGAAACACACACACACATGAAACTTTTTTTACTACAGAGGGCCACAGATATTGTTGTCATAGAGATGACCCCTGCCTAAAAGGGTCCTGGGAAATGTCCTGGAATGGCTTTGAGACAGAGAAAGAGGATCTCCAGATCATCGTTAACTTCCAATCTATTTATCATCTACATAATCATCCTTTATATTCCATTTCAAATTTTTGTCAAGTGTATTACTGGAAAGAGATCAAGGGTGGTTCTGAACTAATAAGCTCATGTATAAATGAATCAGGAAATATTCTAAATGCAGAAATACTCTCTGCCCTCTATCTCGGTCCCTGAGAGGAACATACATATTGCGTTTGATCTAATACTTTATTTAGCTCAGGCTATCAATGTTTCCTTGAATCTGAGTCCCAATTCTTCCTCTCCCGGTTCCCACTGTTTCCCATGGACGTACACACACAGAGGGCCAGAGGTTTGGGACTCGAGGCCGCCCAGGTCCCTCCCTGCTCCAAGGCCCCCTCCCTATGGGATCTGTCAGCTGAACCTAAGGCCTGAGGGACCACATGGGTCCAAGTTTACCAAAATAGCATCACAAGCTGATAGGGTCAGTAAACAATCTCCCCAAAAATATGATGCTTTCATAAAAGATTCTATATCAGTGCAGGAATCCTTATGTCATAAGGGTATTATTAAGGCATATTTACCTGAGCATTATCCTATAGGAAATATTTTAAAGGAGTATACTAACCTCCTCATTATAGTCTATTTACCCGACTGAGACAAAATAGAAATGGTGTGAAAGTTAGTTTTATCGTAGATTATTATTTTAGGAAGGAGAGGCTAGCTACCTGAAAACATTATTGTCATTCAAATTGACAAAACAATATCACAATAGTAAAAAATAATGGCACAATGAAAAAGCCTATTTTGTGCAAGTAAAAGAGAACTGACGAAGAAAATAAATAACATGGACATTACAATGTTTTATTCAGCTTTTTTTTGTAATTATCCATTTCTTAATGCTTCATTTATTTGTTATTTATCAATCAATTTAAATTTACAGTGAGGCCATTTTAAGAACAATAATAAAGGTTAATCATTCATAACTAATGGAGCCTTTATTTTAGGATGCTCAATATGTTACAGGGCTGTCATTAAGATGTTCAACTCTGATGGCTCGTCTTTAACAGCTAGTGAAAAGGTGTTGTTGAAGCTCAAAGAACATGTCAGTGCTGGATTAGTTTGTGTGTACAATGGCTGCATTAAGATTTTATCTCATCAGGCTGATGTGAGTATAAAGTAGGAACAGCTAAACAAACAGCTTTCTCAGTACCTAGAGAGGCTGTGTCAAACTACAATCAGGTCACACACATACAAACATACACAGGGCCATGAGAGGCAGTCATGTAGCCACTGTTTTCACATGACAACTGTGGTTTTACTGTCAAATTGCAAAGTATGAAGGGTAGTTGTTTATTTCAGCTGGATTTCTAAAGCATTTCATTCTCAGCAGCTGTAATCACACCAACTCCTGGATATTGAGAAAAGAATCATGCTTTGATATAATGCTTTCAATGAGGTGATTATCATACAATCTGGGATTTGGGGGTGTTTTTTTCCCACACTTCGAAATGTTCAAGAAGCTTGACAATGGAGGAAATGATGTGAATAATAATGTGGATATCTTAATTTGCACATTTTGATAGACAGGCGACTTGAAATGCAGGTTGAGTTTGAGGCCAGGGATTCTGCACCGGAAAGCTGTCCTAAATTTGTTTTGTTTCCAACCTCCTCTCATTTCAATTCAAGTCCACCCAGTGCACTTTAATGGCACAGAAGTATCCAGTTCAAAGAGTTGGAGCGGGACTTTCACATTAAACACCTTGTCTTCTGATCTGTGTGTTTAAAAAAAAATCATATTCATCATCTGCAGACACTCCAACACACAGTGACACTAAGAGTCTTTGTGGAAGTAATTAATTTAACAAACACACACAGGCACACACTCACACACACACACACATCCCTATCAATTATCAATACACAGAAGCACCCTTTAAAACACACACAGACACACAAATCCAGGCTGTGTATCTGCCGGTGACAGCCAGACAGTGCGACGCTCAGAAGAATAAAACAGAGAAAAACATCTGTTTGGAACAGCTCAGCCTGACGCACACACAAAGACACACAGATAGACTTCTCTGCCGCCTTTCCATCCGTTCATACTGACCCCATGAAGGGCAAAATCCATAAGGGGCACAACTAATCTTGTTAGTGACTGGAAAGAAATGAGACAGAAAAGATGAGAGACTGAGAGGGAAGAGGTGGATGCATGGATGAGAAGGAGAGAGAAAGAGATAGAGAAGGAGAGAGAGAGAGAAGGCTGAGAGACGGATAGAAAGGTGAGTGGGTGGGGGCAATAATTCAGTTAACTGTGATAGGTCAACCAAACCGCCTATCCATCAAATAGACCAGATTATGGTATCGACATTCTTCCCTTCAGCAGACAATGTTTCCATTCACCATGACCTTCTCCATGCGTGTGCGTTTGTGAGTGTGTGTGCGCTTCAAGACAGGATTACCTATTAGGCAGTTTTGAATTAAAAAAAAACAACACAGACTCAACGTTTATGTGTGTGTGTTTGTGTATGCATGTGTAAGAGTTTTAAACATAAACCCTGAACAAAGATTACCAATGGCTCAACTATGAAAACATAAAACAGAAGGAGCAAAGTCCTGCATATTCCACATGTTTACCAAACATTGCTGAACCAAAACACCAAGATGATGAAAACCCTGAGATCAAATTATTCAATGCAATTGTTGCAAATCTGAACTCCTCCTAGCTTTGTAAACAGAAGCACTTTTTCCTACTCAGACAGGAAATATTTCTGTACAACTACAAAGACTGCAACAGCCAACATCCGGTAATGATTTATTCAGAGGCAGCAACCACAGGGAGACTAAGTACAAGGTCTGGAGACATTGTTAGTGTACATCCTATTAGCAAGCTAATGATGCAACTGTTGTGAAGGAGAAGGAAATATACACATTATATTATTATATATTATCTATATTAAGTTCTGCAAGATTTTAGAAATAAATGACTTCTAGCTCTCACAAAAAGTTTTTGTAATTCCTATCCGCAATAAAAAAGTATTTCAAACATTTCAAAAGATAAGAATAAAACAATAAACAAAATTTAAGAAGGCAATACAAGTTGAGGTAAATGTTGGGTGATGGTGGCGGCAGCAGCAGCACTTGTGGTAATGACGGTGTGTGTGTCAGCATTTTATACTGTTATATCGGTCGCACCAGTACAAAGGATGCAGCACACTTTTAAAAATAGACCCAAAAGTCTCTTATACACCAGATCTTACGGCAGGTTGTGAGCTTTAGTTGTGTATCGTTCCCATTTATCTCGTACAATGTGAGACCACATTCCCCACAGTTTGACAATCATAGAGTGCATTCCCGTTCAAAGATGCTGGCATTGATTTTAGGGAAAGTTAGGAGGTCTTTTCCATTCCTTCCTCTTCCCCTCTCCCAGTTATTGTCATTTCTCTCATTCTGTCTTTTTCTTCTCATCCCTAACTTCCATGTCTTCACCTCCAACTCATTCTTCCCCTCAACTCTCTCTTTCTTTCCTCTGTGGGTGCCAACCATGAGTTACCATAGAGACCAAGATGGGCTCCAATGTTACCATGGAAACTGTGTGCTGCAGCATTACACTCCCTCTGTTTCACTGTCTCTCTCCTCCTCCTCACACACATACAACTTGATGACACTGATCAGTATTGTACCAAGAATATTCACAGCACATAAGCCTAATTACTACTCTTCTGTCAGCATGCAGACTGCCTATTGTGTGTCTGTGTGTACAACGTCTATACCAATGCACTGTCTCTGTGTGTGTGTTTATTACAGTGTGTGCAACTGCATGTGTAAAATTGTGAGTTTCTGTCTGTTCCAGTTATTCATGTCACATACTTAACACCAGTTGGTTATTTAACTGAGGCTTATGTGAAACTTAAGCATGTCATTGTGTAACAGTGCACAGGCCATTGCTTGAAGAGAGTACAATGCAATAATAGTTCTGCATATTATAAGCCGTTTAGATATAACAATCTTACAGTTTCAGTGAGTGTTACAGGGGCTTCTTTATGTAATATATTCAGTCATTGCAAAAGGGTACACAACTCATCATACTGTAATTATGGTTTATGTTTTATTTTCCTGCAATGAGCTGTTTTTCAACAGAGCCTGAAATTTGAGGTTAAGTTTTAGGTCAGTGTGCAAAATTGGTCTGCTGTTTTTTCTGTATTGTTGTAATTGCTGCAGCTCAAAGAAGGATAAAGACATGTAATCAAGACTGACATTCCTCAAAGGAAGAGCAGGGGATTAATAATGTCATATTTATTTTTGATGTGAAATCAACAACAGTGAAAATTGTGGCTCATTAGTCACTGTCTCAGTCAGCAAACGCCTGTGAAGTATGGGAATTTCCACCCAACAAACCTTCCACCTTC